CCAAAGATCTTACTATTAGATGAAGCAACTAGTGCATTAGGTATAATTAATATATTTGTATATCTGAAGTTAAAGAAATATTTCATATATGTATGTAAATAGATTATACAAGTGAACGAATTGTACAGGATGCATTAGATAATGCAAAACAAGGTCGAACAACAATTGTTGTTGCACATCGTCTAAGTACTATTCGAAATGCAGATATAATTATTGGATTGAATGATGGACAAATAGTTGAATATGGAACACATGATGAACTAATGAAAAACAAAGGACTTTATTATGGACTAGTAAATAAACAAGGAGCAGACGAGCATTATGAATCATCATCTGAAATAGATACGAAAGAAGAAACTAAAATAAAGCAATCATACACTCGAACATTATCAAGTGAGTTATTTCATATAGTTTTGATATATGTTTATATATTATTTTAGGTATTCATGAAAAGACTAGAGAATTGAACGACTCTATTGAAGAGAAAGAAATTGATGATTCTATGGAGAAAAAGCAAAAAAAACAGTTTCATTTATTATTGATGTTTCAAATATTAAAATTTAACATACCAGAATGGCATTGGATCTTAATTGGTAGCATAGCATCCCTTCTTTTCGGTGTTATTCAACCAGCACTTGCATATTTATTTACGGGAATTTATGGTTCATTTGCTGAATCAAATAAAGATAAACAGAAACAATTAATGAACATGTTTAACTTTAGTATTTTCTTTGCCGGTGTTGTTGGTGCACTTTGTCAAATTATTCTAAATTCTGCATTTGGAAAATCTGGTGAAGAACTTACAGCACGCATGCGTAGATTAACATTTTCATCTTTACTTCGACAAGAAATAGGTTATTATGAAATGAAAGAAAATTCTATTAATGTTCTAAGTACACGTCTGGCATCAGACACAGCAGCTATTAAGGTATGTTCAAATAGTATAGCAGAGATCTTTGTTCTATAATTAATCGGCAATGAATATTATAGGGATTAACAGGAATTCGTATCGGTATTCTTATGCAAGGATTCAGTGCATTAGTAGCGTGCTCTATTATAGGATTTATTGCTAGTTGGAAATTGACTTCAGTTCTTTCATGTTTCATACCCATACTATTCTTCTCAAGCAAATTACAAGGACAAAGACAAGGTAATATAAGTAAAACACAAGATAAAGATTTATATTCTGAACAAGGTGGAAAGGTAAATAGACATAAAGAGAAAACTATTATATTTATATTGACTTCATCTTTATATATTCTATTTAGTGTGCTTCTGAAGCTATAAAACATATTCGAACTGTAGTTGCTCTTCATCAGGAAAATCATTTTATCAACATTTATGAACAATTTTTTGATCAAGAATTCAAGTATAAAATTATTGATTTTTGTATTACATCTAAATAATTAAGTATTTATTTAGAAAAAATATATGTCGTCTACATATAATAGCATTGGGTGCAGCTGTTGCTAATTCTTTGAGCTTCTTTATCATTGCTGTAACTTCTTCGTATGGTAGTATGCTTGTTCAAAAAGGCGAGATTACTTTTCAAAATGTATATAGGTATGAAATTTAGAAAGAACAAAATTGAGTTTTAAAATTGTAATTAATATATTTTAAGAATCTATGCAGTTATCTTGACTGCAGTAGCAAAAATTGGTCAAACCTCGGGGCAGAATTTAGCTTATTCTAAAGCGACACATGCTGCAATGCGAATTCTAAAATTAATCAAACGTACTTCACAAATTGATCCTTATGATGACTCGGGCATTATTTTAGTAAAAATTTTCTCTCTCAGTCTCTCTCTCTCTATATATACATATTGAAATATTTTGTAGAACAAGATCACAGGTCGAATTGAATTTCAACACGTCTATTTTCGATACCCATCAAGACGAAATGTTCAAATACTTAACGATTTTTCATTAACATGTGTAAATAATAGTTCTACAGCTCTTGTTGGACCATCAGGAAGTGGAAAATCAACAGTAATTGATTTGTTACAACGACTTTATGATCCATTAGAAGGTCAAATTCTTTTTGATGGTTGTGATATTCGTACACTTAACATTTCATGGTTTCGTTCATTGATGGGTATTGTTCAACAAGAACCAGTTCTATTCAATATTTCAATACGTGATAATATAGCTTATGGTGATAATAGTCGAGAAGTATCTCAAGATGAAATAGAAAAAGTTGCTCAAATAGCTAATATTCATGATTCAATTATATCATTACCTAAAGTTTGTTTTACAAGCACTTTCTTTCATATCTAAAAATATTCTATTTTATAGGGTTATGATACATTATGTGGAAATAGAGGTAATCAATTATCTGCTGGACAAAAACAAAGAAGTAAGTTTATAAAGTTATTTTTTAATTTTTAATCTATAGTTTAATAAATAATAGTCGCCATAGCTCGTGCCTTAATTCGTTCTCCAAATATTCTTCTTTTTGATGAAGCAACATCAGCATTAGATAATAAGAGTGAATCAAAAATTCAAGAAGTATTAGAAAATGTAAGAATGAATCGAACAAGTTTGACAATTGCTCATCGTTTATCAACAATTCAAAATTCAGACAAAATTATTGTTATTGATAAAGGTCAAATGCAAGAAGAAGTAAGTGGAATAGAATCGTAAACAAAGAAATTGTTTTGATAATATTAATTTAGGGGACACATAATGAACTATTAAAATCAAATGGAATCTATTCAAAGATGGTTCATTCTCAGAACAAATCAACTTAACAGCTCTTACAATGAATTACTTAGACATATACTGGACAACTAAACTTGTTTTATTTATTTCATTTTAAGCCAACATAGCAATAACTATGCGAATAAATACTAAAATCTATTGTTGTTAATTATATAATAAAAGATAATAAATAATATATTTTTTAATAATCTCGAGATGTATTCTAATTTGAAAAATAATTTATTGATTTCTAGAATGATTGTTATCTTTGTTAGAACGAAGCGATGTATATGACCAATGAATATTAGTAGATTTAATCAATAAAAAATAGAGAAAACACATGAAATCAATCATTGTATCATTCTGTTTATCAATGTCAATAAGTTGAAAAATAATGAGTATCATCCATAAATCTGATACAAACCAATTTAGTATTGAAAATAGTAGAAATATCTCCAAAGAATGATTTTAGAATTAGAAATATTGGATAATAAAAGAAATCTATGTTTCCATAAGTTATTAATAAATTCATTGATAAATATATTTTCAACATATAACAAATGTTTGTATGTAAAAATTGATACAGAACATATAGTTACATATTAGTTCATTTATTTTATATACAAAACAAGATAATTGTGTACAAAATTCATGAGTTGACTTAAGAAAATAGCCACAAATGAAGAAAAACCATGGTAATAAAAATGATCCATATGAATTCATAAATAAATTAAATGAAATAAACAGTTCAAACTTCATTAATTCTTATAAATTGACGAATTGGATTGATTCATATATTAAAAGAAAAATAATTTAATTCAGTTCAAGTCTTCCATATAGATCATTGTTCGTTTCTATTACAGCTGATTTTTTGGTTCGAAAAACTAGAATTCTCTTTATTTTTAACTCAATTACATATTGAACAACAGTCAAAGTTTGTTTCTACGCATAGTATGAACGTCGACATAATCAGATATATATCCAACTATTTGATAATATGACGGCAATCTTTTATCTAATATGGACGAAAAAAAAATATGCATTTACTTTTTTCGTATTTTAAGATAAAATAAAAGCGTCTCGTGTTCAAGACACGTGATTGTTAAAATGGTGAACGCACAGAAAGATATATCCATTTACTTTATAATACGACAGGGTTATTGAGTTCAAAATCAGTGAAGCAATAAGACAATATGCATTGACCTTTTTCGTATTAAAAGATAAAATAAAAGCGCATCGTGATCCAGGTATGTGATTGCGAAAACGGTGAATGCATTGAACGATATATCCATTTACTTTATAATACGATAGGGTTATTACGTCTTACATTAATGACATAATATGGCTAGAGTCTCGTATTTAAGTTTGAGAAAAAAGTAAAATAACAAACATTTATCTTGTTACATACTTAAAGGTAAGATAATGATATTCAAAGTAACCAAGAAGCTTTCTTCTAATAAATATTTATGCAATTGAGCATATATCCAGATGTTTCAGAATATTATGAGATTCTTGCATCTAGCTTGAAAAAGAAAATGAGAAATTATTATTTATTATTTATTTTAAGTCAGAAAGCAAATGGAAATATTTCACCGATTAAATGTCGAATATCTGATACATATTTATTTGATTTATTCAAGTTAATGAAAACAATTTTGTATCCACAACATTTGAATAAAAAACAAGATCAAGTTTGTTCTTTTTTTATTTTCTTTTATTCTATATTATTTTTTAAAACTGATAGAAATTAAAATCAAAAGATAAACCATTTAACAAATACAAAAGAACAATATAAAACAATTGAAAAAATGATACTTATTCAAAAAATTCTTCAAGAAGGAAAGCAAAATATTAAAAAACAAATTGAAATTAAAACTGATCTCGACCACAGATAACACAACTTTAACTCAGTTTTATATTAAATTATTTATTTTAGATTGATATTATTATGTTATGTGCTTTATTAGATTTAACATATATTATAGAAGAACTTTTACATATTTTATTCAAAATAATTGAAGCATCAGCAAATATAAAAACTTATGATATTGAATCAAATAGTTTAATAAAACAGTGTGTCATATCTATCCTACTCACCCACACACCCTCAACATTCAAGGTCAAATTCAAAAATAAAATTTTCTTTTTCTTTCGAAATATCTTCAACTTATATTATCATCATTAATTAATTCATTTCAAACAAATCAACAACAACAAAAAGATAAAGACACATCTTGCAATGAATCAAGTTTTCTTTCACCGATTTTACAAAAATATGATGTACATTCAATTGAATGTAAAATGAATTTTACATTAAATGCTCCACAAATTCGTATTCTAATGAATTTATATTCAAATAAAAGTATTTTAATTGAATTGGGGAAATTACAAATGAATACAGGTTCAAGAAATTCGTCATCTATTAAACAACATGGAATTACATTTGATAACTTTTCAGCGAGTCGTTTTATTGAAAATGATAAAAATGAATTAATTTTATTAGAATATTTATCTTTGTAATATTAATTAATTGTCCTTTAAATTCACAAAATGATTCCAGTGGAATTAGTAATTATGCATTTATTGATCAAATTTTTAATGAAATTTTTTTTATCAAGTTCCAAAAATTGATAATACTCAACAAGAAGAAGAAGAACAAATTGAAATTAAACACAAAATAATCAAAACGTATTTCTAAGAAATAAGATTTACAAGAAAGTACAAATGTTTATGGAAAATTCGGTTTAATTTTCAAAGAAAACAAATTCATTAATGACTTAGTCATTCTCAAATAGATCTTTACAATAATTATATAGCGGGAGATGAAAACTCTAAATTTCTTTATTTAATAATTTAATTAATTGAAATAAATTTTAATTTACTATCAAATTCAACATTTATTATTACATGATGTTTAAAAAAAACAAGTTCAACTTTTATTAACAAACATTTTAATATTCAACAAAATACATCAAGATTTAACATGAATCTTCAATTTAACAAATCTAATAAAATAAGATACAGATTTTTTATTTTTTAATTAGTTAATGGTCAATTAGAAATTTTTGTATTTGTATAAGTCTAGACTTTCAAAACAAACTATTAATATATTTAATAATTTTATTTATTTAATTTCCATTAGATCCATCTAAACATTGTGTTTCATCTGACATAAACAGAAGAATTGAATTTATGCTGAATCCTTCTCAAATTATTTTATTTCAAGGTCAAAATAAAGTTAATTCTGATTGTCTCATATTTAATGTAAGTTAAATTATCTAGTAAAAATAATTTAAATAAATATATATCTATATACTTAATAGTTACCATTTTCAATACATATGGTTAATATGAATGGTGACACAATAACTTCTTCTTCAATATAAGATTTAAGTTTGTATGGAACTAATTTTCAACATTTTCAACAATGAAACATTTGCTATTCAATAATTTATTTTGTTTATATAGTTTTTTGATTTAATTAAAAGTATAGATATTAGTTTCATCTCAAGTGGATACAATTATTATGATCAGTTGTGATAACCAAAAAATTTTTTTAAACATTGAAGATTCAGCTAATAATATTCATCCAACTATTGGAAGAATATTTACTAATTTTAGTAGCTCTATTAATGAAGAGTAAGTCAGACAATTCAATTTAATCAGACGTGCTATTATTTTATTTTATTTAGAAAAATTCGCAAGAAGAAAAAGAAAAAATCAATTCACAAACAATATTTATTTTAAAACCAACTAAAGATTCAAGTTTTTTATTTATATTCTAGGTATCTTAGTATATATTATTGATATTTAAAGATTATGTAGAAAAATAACAAATACTTGATGAAACAGATATATTAAAAATGACAACAGATTCAAAATCAGCTAAAACAAATGCAATTGAACAAAAAGTAAAAGATAAAAAAATTTAAAAAAGTCAAAATCTTTCTCAAGTTTGTTTTCTTATTTTTTTAAAATTATTTTATCGTTTGAGAGTGGGTAAGATGGACGTACTTTAGAGATTATCACAACACCTACCAACTCCTCACTCACACCCTCCTAACTCTTTTAAACGTTTAAGATCCCTTTTATAAAATAAGACTGTTTGTGTGAATCTTTTTGTCGATTAGTTTTAGATTAAGCTTTCAATTTTAATTTTCAACATATTAGTTAAAATATGACAACATCATACTATGTGATCCGTAGTTTACTTGATATTGCCCGATTATATCCTCAAAAGATAGCAATAGTACTCGACGATCAAGTATGGACTTATAGCGAGTTGATTATGCAAGTGGAACGTGTTGTATATCAATTACATCACTTAGGTGTAGTTCAAGGTCAAATAATTTATCAATTCGTTGAACGAAGTTTTGAGATGATATGTGGCTTTTTGGCCATCTTATATATAGGTGGAGTGTATTGTCCAATAAATCCAGCAGTACCGTTTGAACGTCTCAATGTACTTCTCGAACAAATGCAAGGTCAATATGTTTTAGTACATGAAAAAACACTTAATCAATTTCCAACAGCAGCCGTTCAGCATGTTATTGTATTGGATAATATTCTTGTACCATTGTTGGATGTCGAAGACATGAGTGATCTTCAGATTCCTGGGAAGTATGGTGCTGCATTTATCATTTTTACTTCAGGGACTACTGGACGACCAAAAGCAGTTGTTCATACACATAAAAGTTTTTCGGCTAGTATGGCTGCTTTTATTCAATGGAACATCGGTATGTATACCGCCCGAGATCACGTTCTTCAAGTTGCTACATGCTCATGGATTACACATATTGGGGAAATCTCATTGCCATTAGTTGTCGGTGGTACTCTTGTGCTTCTGCGACAAGGAGGTCTTTTCGATGTGGCCTATTTCGCTCAAACTATAGTGCATCAACGAATAACGATACTAACAATAAGTCCCGTAATAATTCGAGCTCTGACTAATTATATTGAAAATAGCCAGCAAACGAAGACATTCGATACTGTGCGCTATTTGTGTACGATGGGTAATGATAAACTTTTGATCTATTTTTGACATCTTAGTTTTTACTCGTTTTGCATAACTTAGGCGAAGCAATGAAGCCACATCAATGGATTCAATTTGTTAATTTGTTGAGCTCTTCCAGTGTTCAACTTTGTGTTCTATATGGTACGTCTGAAAGTAGCGTAGTTCTTGGATGTCAGTTGTTAAATATCAAAGATTCAAATATTCCTATTGGGTATCCATTCCCAACTATTCAATGTTTGCTAATCGATGATGATGGTAAAATTATTAATACTACAGATAACTCAAGTAAAATTGGTCAAATTCATATAGGAGGTAAGTAGCACCCATTCCGATTCTTTTCTTTTATATTATGTATTTTTACAAGGACCAACTTTATTTAACTCCTATTTAAATAATCCGGAACTTACCGGAAGCAGGTTTACAACCATAAACAATCAAGTTTATATAAAAACAGGTGATTTAGCTCGATACAATGCGCAAGGAAAGCTTTTTTATGTTGGACGTGTTGATTTTCAAATTAAAATACGTGGTCAACGAGTTGAAACAACTGAAATTGAAAATACAATTACGAATTCGTATCCCGACAAGATTTCCGACTGTGTTGTTACTAAATTGGCACAAAATGATGATCTACTTGTTGCTTACGTGGTCTCAAAAGACTCCGAGCTTGATACTGATCAAATTCGAAATTATTGCAATAAACATCTATATCAATACATGGTACCATCCATCTTTGTCTTCTTGAAACAGCTACCTTTGAATGCGAATGGAAAACTAGATCGACAGCGTCTTCCAATACCTGATATTTCGGTTCTATTGACTGGTACTAATGATCTTCAATATATAGAACCGAAAAACGAACTGGAAACGCTTGTTCATTCAGTGTGGTGTAAGATCCTTGGTTGTAATCGAATCTCGACGCTAACAAACTTTTTTACTATTGGTGGTCATTCTCTTCTATTTATACAACTTTACCAAGGTTATAAAACGACGTTTAATATCGATATAAGCATGCTGGACATAGGTGAACTCTTTCAACATCCAACGATTGCTAATCATGCTCATCTGATTAACCAATCAAAAAATGCAAAACATATATCTGAACAATCTTTATGGCCATTATGCTCCATGGAAGGTATGTTAAATCTAATATACATTGATGTCCAGAAGTGTAAATTCAAGAACTTAAACCACATTTACTAATCCGTCCAACACTCATTTCGTACATAAAACAGTGAAGACTTTTATACACTATGCTAAGAGAGAAATAGAATAGTTGGGAAATCAAATGAGTTTTAGCATGAAAGCAATAGAACACGCTCATGTGTGTACCTAGCAGAGTAAAAGAAAAAATATGATGAATAGCAATAACATATCTATGAATATAGAACGAGTACATAGATAATATCTATAGCGTGAACCATCTTATGATACACTATACAGGGAACTTTAAAAGATAGTTATTATCGATTACAACATAGTAAGTTCGAACTTTTTGTTTTAGCCCAAATGCTTTCTACGCCAGATGTTATTCTGGCCAACAACGATATTTCCAAGTTGCAACATAATTTCATGTATAAAACAGATGAAACATCAAGTTATCAATCTTGTGCGACTACTGAGATTCAACTGGCTTATTTATTTGGACGACGTGGCTATGTCGAGCTTGGTCAAGTTTCTTGTTATTCATATGAAGAATACGATTTACCATTGCAGTTCAATATCGAACGACTTGAGCAAGCATGGAACCATTTGATTCATCGTCATGAAGCATTACGGACCATTTTTATATCTGATACAGAACAGCAAATTCTTAGAAACACTCCTTACTATACGATACTCATAGTTGATTTGTCTAATACGATATTCATAGAAGACGAACTCATTAAAAGACGTATGCAATTATCACATCAAATTCATCCTGCTAATCAATGGCCATTATTTGACATTCAAGTAACTTGTTTTATTAACGACAGTACACGTCATTTTCGTATCCACATCGGCTTAGATCTTCTCATAATGGATCTTTGGAGTGCAAACATCATTTTTTCTGAACTATATCAACTGTACCACTGCCCACATGTTATTTTACCGACGATCAAGTATTCTTTTAGAGACTACATAATAGCACAAAATCAAATCAAAACCACATCCGTCTATCAAGCCGACAAAAAGTATTGGATCGATCGACTACATTCATTTCCATTAGGTCCTAGTTTACCCCTACGCTGTTTACCAACAGAATTAAAGATACAACGATTTGTGCGTTTGAAACGTACAGTGGATCAGTCAATATGGAGTCAGTTGAAAGAGCGAATCAATAGTGCTCAATTGTCTCCTGCTGGATTTCTAACATCTATCTATGCGATTGTATTGGCTAAATGGAATGATAATCAACACTTCTCAATCAATTTACCTATCTTCAATCGTCTCCCGATACATCCACAAGTCAATCACATAGTGGGGGACTTCACATCAGTTATTCCACTAGAAATCAACTTACAGAAAAAACAAACTTTTCATCAATTTTTCCACACGGTTCAAAAACAATTATGGGATGATCTCGCACATATGTCTTACGATGGTATATCGTTTATTCGTGACTTGATGCACATTAACAAGACCAGAGAAATAGTTTTGCCTATCGTGTTTATGTGTGGATTGTTTCACTCGAATTCTAAACAGAATACAAACAAACTTCGAGATCTTTTTGAAAAAACTTCAGTATATGGAATTTCACAGACTCCTCAGGTTTACTTGGATAACCAAATTTTTGACGAAGATGAACAATTAGTTATCCGTTGGGATCATGTAGAAAATTTATTTCCCACGTCGATGATCGATGATATGCAAAATGCGTTCATTGATCTTATAATACGACTAGCAACGTCAAGTGAGATGTGGCAAGAGTTAGCCTCTGTATCATTACCAGTTGGACAATTACAAAGGCGATTCAACTTTATCGAAACCCAATGGAAGTCTGGGATGAATACACAACTACTTCACACTTCAGTTATTCATCAAGCACAACAAACGCCTAATACTTGGGCGATTATATCATCGCAAGAAAATCTCACGTACCAACAATTAATGAATCGGGTTTATTCATTAGCATATCATCTACAACAGCAACATGACATGAACTCCAATCAAATCATTGCTATTCTCATAAAGAAAGGTTGGGAACAGATTGTTGCTTGTTTAGCTATCTTAGTTTCAGGTGGTGCTTATTTACCTTTGGATGTTGATTCACCCTACGACCGTCTTTGTTCATTAATCGAAGAAACTAATGTCACAATTCTTCTTACACAATCTCATTGTCAACATAGATTTCCACATCTCACAACTATTCCAGTCGATACATTCACAACGGATGATAATTATCCAACACCATTTCCTATCAAACAACAATCATCAACTGATTTAGCTTATATTATTTATACATCTGGATCAACTGGAAAACCAAAAGGTGTTATGATTAGTCATCAAACTGTTGTAAATACTATTCTTGATATGAACTCAAGATTAGATATCTCAACTAATGATAGAATATTTGCATTATCACATCTCAATTTTGATTTATCCGTTTACGATATATTTGGAATATTGATTGTTGGTGGAACTATAGTAATTCCAAATCATGAAGATTATAAAAATCCTCAACATTGGTATGATATGATAATTAAACATCATGTCACTATTTGGAATAGTGTTCCAATGCTCATGCAAATGTTTGTTGAACATCTCAAACATACAAATAGTCGTAATCAATTACGACATATCTTATTAAGTGGTGATTGGATACCATTATCTTTACCCGAGTCAATACGAATAACATTAGGTGAACAAGTAACAATAACTAGTTTAGGTGGTGCAACAGAAGCATCGATTTGGTCAATTGCCTATACTCTACCAAAAGAAATACCACAAGAATGGAAATCAATTCCTTATGGAATACCATTAAGAAATCAACAATATTATGTCTATGATATACATCTTCATGATTGTCCTGAATGGGTGAGTAGTGAACTTTATATTGGTGGTGAAGGCTTAGCTAATGGTTATTGGAATGATCAAGACAAAACAAAAACAAGTTTTATTATTCATCCATTAACTAACAAACGTCTTTATCGAACAGGTGATTATGGTCGATTTCTACCAAATGGATATATTGAGTTTACCGGACGAAAGGATTTTCAAGTAAAAGTACATGGTCATCGTATTGAACTTGGTGAAATTGAACATCATTTACAACAGCATCCACATATTCAACAATCTATTGTTAATATTGATGACAAATCCAAACACTTAATTGGATATGTTATGCCAGAAAAGCCTTCTACTGATAATAAAGAATATGATTTAACAGAGATATTAATCGTTGATCCTATTGAACGTATTAATTTTAAGCTTGCAAGACATAGTGTAAGACATCAAAAGAAGGTAGAAAAGAGCTTTGCTCTAACAAAACCAAAACTTGCAGAAACATTAATCGATACATATTATATGAGAAAAAGCTATCGACAATTTACAAATGAAACTATTGAAAGATCTACTATCGAGAAGTTGTTAAAAAACTGTCACAATAGCAATAATAACGAAAAAATATCTTTAACTCACCTCGATTTTGGTATTCTTAGTCAACTATTAGCAGTATTAACATCGATCAGTATTTCTGATCAACCTTTACCAAAATATTATTATGCATCAATTGACGATCTTTATCCAGTACAAGTATATGTTGAATTACCAAGATCTATAGATAATATTTCGCCTGGTGTTTACTATCATAATCCAGACGAACATACTCTAGAGCTAATTAGTACTCATATTAATAATGACATGATGAATATAAGATTACATCTTGTTGGAAGATCATCAGCAATTGCACCGCTATATGGTCAAAGATTGGGTTCTCAACTTTGTATGCTCGAAACAGGATATATTACGGGATTACTAGAACAAGAAGGGTCAAGATTAGGATTGACTTTCTTGGAAAATACGCATAATGATTCTATAACTCGAAATATTCTGAATATGGATGAGGATGACACACATTGTTGTTTTCAACTTTCATCATCTGAGCAAAATATTTCTAATAATGTACAAAATGATAACCATCAATGCATTATTTATCTTAAATCGATCAACAATAACAAAGATCAATGGTTTACTTATAATAAAGAATATGATACTGTTACATCTTTTGATGTCGAAAATGAAACTACGCAAGAAGAAATACCACTGTTCTTTGATGATGACGATGATACAAAGATTATATTCCATGATTGCCAATGTGCAATCTTCTTCAGCGGACGATCAGAAGACACAATGAATATAGGTAAGTTATCACATTTATTAATGGATCATTGTTTAGAAATGAATATTGGTATGTGTCCAATTGGTACTCGTACGAGTTTTCCAAAACAAATTAATGATGTATTAGATACTATTTTTATTCATGATAAACTAAACGGAAGTAACATATTACATATATTACTTATTGGAAAGATTAGTAATGAACAAAAAAACCAACGTACTATTTCGACAGTACGATCAATGCCAAACTGGAGTGAAACATTACGAATATATCTAATGAAAAAGCTTCCAATGTATATGATACCATCACATTTTATAAGTGTTTCATCATTTCCATTAAGTCCAAATGGTAAAATTAATCGAAAAGCTCTACCAGAAATACCACTATCAGTGCTTCAACAAGAAGATATCTATAATGCACCAAATACTGAATTAGAAAAAACAATTGCGAATATTTGGCAAGAAATATTATACACAGATCGACTTATTATACAACATGATGATCCAACTAAAATCGTCTCTGGTATTGACAGAAAAACATCTTTTCTTATATCTACTACAGCTAGTTTCTTCAGTGTCGGCGGCAATTCTCTTTTACTTGTTAAGATCTATCAACGTTATCAATCAAAACTTAATTTCGAAAGAGAAGCATTGAGTATTCGATCATTGTTTGACTATAACACCATAGTAGAACATGCTAAACTACTTGAACCAATCATCATCGATGGTGCACAACTAAAACAATGGCATACGTTGCATATTAATGAAGGTCAGATAGTTTTAATTTACTTTTTTGATAGCTAAAAATATTATTTTCACAAATTTCTAGGTATCGCATCGTATGCTCAAGAACGCATATTTCTTGATGAACAAGTTCGTTTCTCTGCCCAAATTGCTATTTACAATGAGTTGACTGTTCTACAAGTTACGAAAGGCTTATTATCAGTGAATCGTTTATTGCAAACTCTTCGCTATGTCTTAAGTAAACATAAGATATTAAGAACTTCTCTAAGTTTCAACAACGATGATAGTACTTTGAAACAATCTATCACTGATAAACATCTAACATTTACATTGGCTGCCGATCAAACATTCGAAAATGAAACTGATCTTCATAACATTATCTCACAAATAAGTACTAATCCTACTTTGTTCGATTTATCAAGTGGTCGTGTATTTTATTGTCAAATTCTCAGACAACAGATGATACCTGATGAAAATCACGATAAAGAAATGATTACAAATTCTGATGTTCTCGTTATCGGCTTTCATCATGTTGCAATTGATCAATCAGGTGGTTCAATTTTTTTAAATGATCTATGTAATACTTACAATAGTAATATGGCGGGGTTAGATGATGAAGAATCATTACAATATATTGATTATGCCGTCCATGAACGCCTCATCGACATGACACCATCACGTGAGTTTTGGCATTTACAATTCGAAGGATGTAACTTGAAACGTCGATTGTCATTGCCAATCGATCAGCATTGTTTGTCTGATGATCAACGATCTGGTTTCGCTTCTGCCGTGGAAATCACTTTCGACAGGAAAATATCCTCATCATTTCTTAATTATGCTTCTTTACATCATTTGACACTATTTCAACTCGGATTGGCTACATTCTATACATTTTTATTCAAGTTAACATATAGTCCAACTGATTTATGTATTTCATGCCTTAATGCCAACCGATACAGATCTGAATTACAGACTATGGTAGGAATGTTTGTTTCAACATTACCATATCGTATGCAACTTGATCCTTGTTGGTCATTTGATGAAGTTACTAAACATGTACGAGAAAAATGTTTATCAATTCTTGAACATTCTCATTATCCACTTCAACATATTCTTCGTGATTTTCATCTTGATCAATCAACTGCCCCTTTTCTTCAAATAGCTTTTGATTTCATTACTGAATCTTCAGTTAACGATCAGTTGACTTTCGATGATGTTAGTTTACAACCAGTGTTATTACAACAGTCTTCGGAAGTGGCTAAATTTGATTTTACATTAAAATTCGTTTACAATCCAATCTCGAATGACAACATATTGTCATCTAGTTTTATTTGTTCACGTGATCTATTTGAAGATACGACAGTTACAAAAATGATACAAAGATTTCAATATCTTTTTGAACAAATTTTTTCAATGAATTTCAACGTTAATCAGACTGATTTAGTTGTTTCACCTATTGCCAAACTTACTCTTATCTTACCCGATGAAATGAATGAAATGCAACACGTAGCTTTTTACCGTCAATCAAATGTGACGAATGAAGGTATGTCTTTTTTCTATTTATCCTGTATATGATTATTTTTATCGAAAGTGTTGATTGACTTGTGTTAGTTCAAAAATCATAACGGTAGTCTGTTATCCAATACAGAATATAATATATAATATGAGAAGATTTCAGTAATCTTCAGTGTCAAATCCTTTCAAAATGTTTTACAGATAGAATATAAAAAAGTATAGATATATGAAATTTATTAGTAATGATAAGCATCAGAATTGTGACTGAAGAAGAATTAAGTTTTCGATAGTTTTTTTCGAAATATTTATTTGATATCATAAAATTCAGATTTAATTCAGAACATTATAAGTTAATATCAATATCAATGACAATTTTGTTATCTTGTAATAATCTAATTATAGCATTACCATCATTAACACTACCACTTCATAGTTTTTTCTTTGGTTAACTCTGTTTCTGTAAACATCAATTAAAACAACAACAACATATTTTAGTGACGCTAACTTATCTTTTTTAATTGAGATTAGACATTGTTCAAGTGCAAATCACTTCTATATACCATAGTTGAACGCTTTTTAAACGAATCTATATTTATAATTTTAAATAAAACTAAAGATTTTTTAGTAAGATGTTTTTAAATATATGATGATGAATCTAAGAATATGATCAATAGAATACAATTCGGCGTTTTGATAACTTAAGTGTCATATATGAGAGAGTAAAAATCAACATCTGTAAGACAACATCAACATTTAATTGATTGTTTGTCTTTAACTTTATCTAGTGGTACGCGAATGAATTAAAAGTAGATTTTACGTAGAATTATTATCAACTTTAGATTGAGTTTTGTGTTTATATTATGGAAAACTAGCTACCTTAAAGTATAGTACCTTTTTTTAGACAATTTTTACCTGAAAAAGTATTTATACGAAGAAAGTGTAGGCGACACAAACAATTCTAAAGAGGTATTATGACATTATGAAAAGTGTATACTAGTCTCTAACCCCACCCTTTTTTAAATGTTTCTTTTTTTAATATTCGACGTTATTACGTGAAAATCTCAATTTTCAAAAACGAATCTTTTCTTTTCTTCTTTGACTATCTAGCACAAAAAAATTAAATTTATCATCTTATGATGCTTGAAAAACTCTAGCTTTCAGTCGTATTTACAATTCTTCTACAGTCGAACATAAATACGTTTCTAGTTAGTATTTTTACCATAGAGCATCATTAAAACATGCAAAGTGAAAAACGTAGGATGAAATTTCTCATCTAGCCTTTTATTGCCCTAATTTGTAAACAAAACGCTTATTACAAAGACTGTAGAAAATTTTACGATTTGCCTTTTTAACAAAATCTGTATTAATGTTGAATATAAAAAATTTACATTAGAAATGGATGGAATTAAGAGTTACAACTTATCATAGATTCATATGTGACGTTTCCATGCTTTTGACTACTAGACATTATGAATACTTGAAACGGTAATACCGATTGAATCATTTAACTAAATAAAGCAAGCAACCAAATAGAGAGCTAGATTAATTCTAAAGATACATTTGTCGATAGAGGAACCTAGTTCGATTTGAACAAGTTTCTTTGTTATAGCACCAGCATCATTTGCACAAGCTCGTATTTGGCTTGACGAAAGAATTCGATTCGATCCAAACAAGCCTCAAATAGCCATCTATAATATGCCTTTTGTTTATCGTTTGAAATCAGATCATACTTTATCGATTAAACAACTTCGTCATGCTCTTCATCTCGCTGTTAACAATCATCACTCACTTCATACTTCACTTCATTTTGACTTCCAAAAGAATCTACTTATGCAACGAATTATTACTCATGAAGATAAAAAGAATAACAATTTGTTTTCAATCATCAAAACTGCTTATGAAACAGATGAGCAATTAAATGAGATTTTACACGACGAGAAACGTAATCCCCATCTTTTTGATCTTACTCAAGGTCTTGTATTTCGGTGTCATATTATTTATCATAAACAAATCTCTCCAAATCACCTTCTTTCTCACAAAGATCTACTGATTTTCAACTTCCATCATGCTCTATTTGATTTTCCATCAATGGATATATTTCTTCATGATCTCAATCAAGCATATACAACTGGTCAATTATTATATGATAACAACACTAATCTTCACTATCTTGATTGTAAATATATTTTTGTCTTTTCTGATACATTATTTTATTTAATTGCATAATAGATGCTGCTATTGAACAACAAATGTCAATGACTGGTGCAAGTATGTTTTGGCTTGATGTTCTTCATGATTGTAAACTCGAACAACCTTTATCATTACCATTTGATCGACATCGTCTCACTAATGAACATCGGACTAATCGAGCAACATCTTTTTCATTTGATTTTGGTCAAGATCTCTCAAATGACTTTCTTATTCATGCAATATCAAACAACATATCATTGGAACATCTCACATTTGCTGTTTATTTCATCTTTCTATCTAAATTAACCAATGGACAAACAGATTTATGTCTAGCTATGAACATCAATAATAATCGATATAGAGATGAACTCAAGTCAATCATTGGATTGTTTGAGAATGTCATTCCATTACGATGTCGATTAGATCCTCATTGGTGTTTCCATCAATTACTCGAATTTGTTCAGGAGATAACAACGAAGAGTATGCAATATTCATATTTTCCACTTCAACATATTCTCAATCAACATCCACATATTTCCAAACATGCATTTTTGGATACATCTCTGGAATTTATATCATGTACTAAGAACAATGCAATGATGATTGGTGATTCTCAACTTGTTCCAGCACTATTTTTCCCACTCAATATTAATGAAGATGAGATAGTAAGTGTATGCGACTTCTCTCTTTCAATTCATCATTATATGAACATTAATCAACTATCATGCACAATCAATGCATCATTTGACTTGTTCAATATTGACACAGTGGAGAAGATTTCACAACGATTTCATTCCATCTTACATCTATTATCTGCATCTATGATTGATGATCAAGTAAACAAACCTATCCATGAATTATCATTAACATTATCAAATGAACAATATCTAATGCAATCATTGAATAATACACAAATATCATTTTCATCTCATTTCACTTGTATTCATCATGAATTTGTATATCAAGTAATGAAACATCCACAAAAACTAGCTATTGAGTTGGATGAACAATCATTAACATATTGTGAACTTCTGTATTATGTTCAAGTTTTATCTTCAATTCTTCTCAATGAATATAATGTGTTTCCAGGTGAAATAGTTTATCAATGTGTTGAGCGAAGTTTGTCAATGGTAAGTTGATTTAGATTAGTAACTACTGACGAGAGTTTGAGATTGATTTTTGATTAGGTGATTGGTATTATGGGAATTGAAATGGTTGGTGGTGTCTATTGTCCATTATCACCTCGAGATCCGCAACAGCGTTTACATGCACTCACACAACAAATACAAAGTCGTCTTGTTCTTGTTCACCATTTAACTAAAACTAAATTTGATGATGCTATTGTTTCACTTGATATTGATTCAATATTAGATATTAATGATATAGATGAGAAAGATCTTTCAAGTGCGATACTGAAAGGTGAAGGCTTAGCGTACATTATTTTCACTAGTGGATCAACTGGAACACCCAAAGCGGTTCGTTTTCACTTACTTTCCTAATTTCTGATTTATCTTTTTGCTCTTTCATAGGTTCAAGTTCGACATAAGAACTTTATTGCTTGTATCCATTCTTTGGTTTATATTGACTCATTTAATAAATATGATACAGTTGTACAAATGACACGATGTTCATTTGACGTTCATGTTCAAGAAATACTTGGTACATTGTTGGTTGGAGGCACATTGACTATGCTTCATCCAAGAGGAACGATTGATTTCAGTTATTTATCGGAAGTCTTACAGAACAAACAAATCACATACATACACACTGTACCGAGTTTACTACGTAGTTTTTTCATTTTTATCGTGCAAAACAAGAAAACGAATGCCGTAAAACACCTTCGATCGCTTTGTAGTATTGGTGAGTGACCAGGAACGACTCTCGTACTTTTTTCACACCATGTTTCTGTCATTATAGGTGAAGCTTTTGCTGTTCATTTGATCGCCTTAATGGTGAAAACTGGCATAACCAACTGTGTTGTTTGGAATTTGTATGGTCCAGCTGAAACAACTATAGTCTCTACCTTCCACAAAGTAGATTTGATAGAGGATACACGAAGCGTTTCGATCGGTAGACCACTATCTAATTACCGATGTATGATTATCAATCAGTATTTACAACCGTCTATTACCGACGAAGAAGGTGAACTGCTTATAGGTGGAGTAGGTGTCTTTGCTGGTTATCTTGAACGTGATGATTTGACAGCAAAAGCTCTCGTTGAAATAGATGATAAACTATTTTATCGAACAGGTGATCTTGTTACAATCGATAACAATGGTCTTCTTCATTATCAAGGAAGAAAAGATCATCAAATCAAACTTCATGGACAAAGAATTGAACTTGGTGAAATCGAACGATGTTTACTTAATATTACATTCATTTCTGCTTGTGTTGTTATGAAATGGAATGATGATTATTTAATTGCTTATGTTCAATCTTCTCATGTGAATGAGGAACAACTACGTCAACATTGTCAATCTCATCTTCCACCACATATGATTCCCTCAATATTCATTATACTTGAGAAGATACCTTTGAATCAAAATGGAAAAGTAGACAGAAAACAACTTCCTTTACCGGACTTTTCTTTATCAGCTTTGTTATCGTCCGATATATCTGATACTCCTCTAAATCAGTTCGAAGAACGTATACATACTATTTGGTGTCAAGTTCTTCATTCTAATCAAAATCACATTTCCAAAACTACCAGCTTTTTTAGTGTTGGTGGTCATTCACTGTTATTTATTCAACTTTATCACCATTATCAATCAGTATTTAACTTTGATGCTCATACACTTTCGATTGCTCCATTTCTTCAACAACCCACTATTCGACAACATTCACAATTACTTCAAACAGTTCCATCCAACGATACGCAGACAATACGATGTCAGACACTACATATCAATCAAGGTAAAACATCTTTAAATTAAGAAACATCCATCAGATATATAAACCCACTGATTTTTCTTGTAGATATTCCTACTTTTGCTCAGGAGGACATCTTTCTCAATGAACAAATTGAAATTTCACATGAAACTGCTACCTATTCGAATTTTTTCGAGCATCCGTTCATTGTGATCAATGAAAGTTGCGATAATATTTTGTTCATTTTGCCGCCTGGTGACGGTGGTGCCGAAAGCTACATCAACAACATTGTGCCTTATTTATCGCAATATAAACTGGTAATATTCAACAATTACTATCTTGATCTTCAAGCAAAAAATATGGAAAAAGGCGTCTCGTTCGAGGCGTTAGCTCCTGTGTACATAAAGTATATAAAAGAAATCCAACATGATGGTCCATATAACTTTCTAGGCTGGAGTTTTGGCGGCATTTTATCATTTGAACTTTCTCGCCAATTGATTAATGCTGACGAGAAAGTTGGTAATATTTTTATGATCGACTCGTGCTTTAATGTAAGTAAGGCTTCTTTTGAAATTGGTAAAATAGATAAAGTGGATATTCTCGATTCAATAAACTATTGTTATTTACCGATGATAGACAACGAACCATTTGGATTAAATATAATCAACAGAAATACAAATATTGTATTATTTAAAGCTAACAAGATGGCTGAAAACTTTCCATTGAACGATCAGTTTGAATTACTTTCATACTACACCAATACATTATTTAATAATCTTGATACACTAGTGAATCATGAATATATCCAGTTATTTCAAATGTATGGTGATAGCCATTTCTCTTGGTTATTTAATGAAAAGCAAATTTTCAACATGTGCAACTATGTATTGAGTCTATTAAAATAAACAACAAAGAGAAAACTTACAAAAAAAAAAGAAAGAAAATTTTCAGTTTATTTTAGTTTTGTTTGCTATTAAATATCTCATTTTGAAATCATCAATATACACGTTTCTTGAACAGACAATAATCATTTTAGTTTGATCTTCTAATTTATTTTGTTTTTTTGTTAGTTATTTTTAATTTTTATTAGAAATCTAATAAATATCGGTATTATCACTTGTGAAATCATCTTGAGGGTGTGGATGAGGATGTGTGACGGTGTGGGTGAAAAGAAGAATATCATCTACACTCACCGCCACACCCATACCCACCCTTGATAAAGATACATATAAAGGTTTAAATAAAATAATAAAAACTAAAAAAAATCCATTAGTCAGTTTCTTCTCCTTATCAAAAACATGATAAAAATATATGTGAAAATTGTGAATTATAATCATTTTATTTTATTTATAGAAAAATTATTTTTGACAAAAAAATAATAAATAATAAGAATTTGATTTTTTCTTATGCTCTATAGAGTTATATGTAAAGTTTTTTTTGACGAATTAATTTGTCGATTGTATTAATTCTGATTATGTTCAGTATTTCTTCTGTTAAATTTAAGTATAAGAATAGATTGTTGATATGATTTTGATATTATAAAATAAATATAAAATATAGTATTTTAATTTAAATAGAGAAGTAATAACATTGTAATAAAATTTATAAATGATTCAATTTTGATTCGTTGAGAACTTTTATTTAGTATTATATTATTTGTGAAAGTTAAATATAATGTTATTAATGGTTAAGTAAATGTACACAAGGCATTCAAACAATAACGATTATGTACCTCATCGCCGAAAAAAACATCATCGAAGACGCAGATCGTCGAAACTCGCGCAAATCCAAACATCATCGAAAAGAAAGATTACCGAAATGAATATTATCGAAATAGACATTATCGATCTATTGATTATCGAAATAGAGATCGCCGAAATTTTCTTATGGTCTATCTCACTAGTTGTCACTTCCTCGATCATTCGTTCTCGTCTTCATCGTCCTTTCATCTTTGAATATATATATATATATATATCATCGAAAGTCTTAGTATTATGTGCCAGCATGAATAACGAGTTGTTGTGTTGGATATGTGATTAGCGAAAAGTAATATCGCCGACTGGCACTTCGTCGAAAGTGAAATTCTAGAAATGATAGACTGTCGAAATATATATCGCCGAAGTTACAGATTATCGAAATACAGATCGCCGATTTTCGGCGATCTGCATTTCGACGAAGTATTTTTCGGCGATGAGGTTAAAGACCACAATAACTTCAGTTAATATAGCTTTTCCTAAACAAAACTCGTCTCTTTTAATATGAAAATTATTATGAATTGCTTGAGTACGTGGTCTTGTTTGTTATGATTTAATTGTAAGAAGAATACCAAAAATGATCATTAAACAAGTAGGTATTAATCCAAAATAAATTAAACTATAAATACTATAAATTTGTCTATATAATTCATGAACACCATATCGATCAACACATGCAACAATTACTGTATATCGAAAACACATTGATGAAGTATGTATGATATAATCACGAATACGACATAATGTTAATGATGTACTTACAAAATCTGTATGATCAAGTGCATAAATAAGTAAAATTATAGTCCAATTCGTGGTAATCAAACCAAAAATTGATGTTACAAGAAGATAAATTGAATATAAATTTGATCAACGTTGTTTTTGTAATAATATTGTATGACTTAAATTTCCAAATACAACAATTGTAGATAAAATATAACGAGTCATAACTTGTTGAGCAAGAGGAGGTGTATTTGCAATGGACATAATGATACGATCCTATGTAAATATAAGTGAAGTAAATTGAATTGAGTTAGAAATATTTATTTTATTAATGTTGAAGAAAAAAAATTTATGAGCTAAAATTAATGACAGTACCACAGTATTTTATCAAAAAAATGCAAGAAAGTTGAATGCATGTGTGGATTACAGTGTGGGACCTAAAACTAGGGTGGTTATAACTCGGGTTATAACTTTTTGGGTTATAACCGATCAACTTTTTGGCCAAAAAGTTAATTGAGTTATAACTATCAACCGTAGTTGTAAGTTATAACTACGGTTGATAGTTATAACTCTGGTTGAAAGTTATAACTTATAACTTTAACCAGAGTTATAACTATCAACCACAGTTATAACCATCAAACGCATCAGTTTTGTCAATCTTACTAGCATTTAGAGACAAAATTGATGCAGTTGATAGTTATAACTACAGTTGATGGTTATAACTCAGGTTGAAGGTCATAACTGCGGTTGATAGTTATAACTCTGGTTGAAAGTTATAACTATGGTTGATAGTTATAACTCTAGTTATAACTGTTTTAACTTTTTGCCAATTTTGTCAACTATCAACTTTTTGAAAAATAGTTTTAGGTCCCACACTGGTGGATTACCAAAAGAATGTTTTCTGATATAATTCTTCTGCGTGTCAATTAAAAAGTTCTGTCATGATTAAATTCTATTTTATCATAGTGTCAAAAAAACATACATTGTGCAGATGTATATTTCATATGATATGGTTCAAGAGAAAACTATAATTGATTTCATCGTTCTTATTAACTGAAATATAGTTTTTTTGCCTATAGGTTATTTACCCAATTTTTAATCATGTTAAATGAAAATAATTATGCAGAAGAGATAATACATATTGTTCATTGAAATAAATCAAATACAATTTGTGTTATACACATTTTATATAAATGTTCATAGGAAAAGTATAATAATTAATGAATAAAATAAAACATTTATTTTAAATTAATTAAGCATTGTATTTAAATTGTTTTTTATAGGAGATGCTGATTTTTTACTTGTATTAAATATATCATATGTGATAATTGATAATTATTGATGAAAATAAGATCATATAGTTTTCTTTGTTCTTCTAGTATACGTAATAGGTAATCGATAAATCGACATCTGGCGTATATATGAGGAATCAATGTTATTTGAGTTACTACAAGATAAAAAAATTTAAATATAAAAATACATGTGATGATAAAAAAATAATTGTTGACTGTAATAAATATATTTCAACTTTTTCCTATTCTTTGTCTGTGTGTATATTAGTTTTATTTTCAAAAGCAAACGAAAAGTAAAAATTCGATACACCTTAACACATCAATAATTCGATGATAGTAAGACTTCTTCATATCTGGAAAAGGTTTACTTCTCTGGAATCAAACAAAAGTTTTTCTACACTTTTAACAAAACTATAATAGTGTTGAATTGATATCCAAGTGAAACAAGATCTTACCAAACTGCAAGCGTTTGTAGAAATTGACATCATTTTATTCAAGGATGAGGACTTTGATGTGCGTTTTTGTCTGATGTTGTAAAAAATTCTAACATAAATATTGCACCGTTTTCAATAACTTTAACAAATAAATCTACGATCTTTCATTTCCTTAAGACGTATACCAGAAGGAACAAACTGATTTCAAATGCTGAATTGTCTCAGTATAATAATTATTTATTTATCATTGAATCATAAAACAGTAAATCAAACAGAGCAACACATAATACAAGCATAAAAAAATAATATTAATTAGAAATGAATAATGTTTCTTTAGTCTAACATAAACAAATAAACAAAAAGTAGATACAGATATTTGCTGTTAAAATACTGAATATGTATCAGAATCGTCAAACATACTGTTTAATTTATTTTCTTCATAATGTATTATTGCTCGTTTAGTATGATATTTAAATAAATCCTCTAAATAGCTTAATGTATCATAAATTAAATAACTTATTTATCCAGACTTCAATATATGTAAATTAATAGTCAGTTCCAAGAAGACAAAAGATAGTAAAAACTCTTTTTAACGAATTATCTTTGTTATTATATTTATATGTACATATATTTCATATTTTATCATTTATTTTTTACAAATACTCGTATATACGAATGTATCACAAATTCTATTCATATATTAAAGAAACTGATTAGTACTTCGAATTAATTTATTTTTGATAATAGAACATAGATTGCTAGAATAAATATATAAATGAAAAATATGTTTTATCTAATTGAAGTTTAAAAAGACACATAAATTCTATTGTTAACATTATCAATACCACTCGTCAGATAAAATAAAAGTGCTCATTAGTTCATCACAATACCTCATATTGTCAGTCTGAAGTGTTATTTCTTTTTATCCTTGATTTATCAAAGACGCCAATAACAATAGTATCAGACAAAATACAATAGTAGCTAGTGGAAATATTCGGTTCATAGTTTAAACAAAAAAAAAAGAATAGATCCTTGAGAATCTACTATATATATGTATATATCTAATGAATAACATATTGAATAGTTGCATATGTACGATATTATCAATGAATAATAAAATATTAGTAATATTTCCTTTTTCAAATAGGTAAAAAGTTCGATTGAAAATTAGTCAATGATAAACAATCGGTCTAATAGTTGCGTATCATTTTTGTAATAAATATACTATACATGACATAGAGGTGAAGTAAAAAACCTTGTACATGTACATAGTTTAGTAAGAGAAAAAGAAAAAAACCTTCGTGGTATGTCGTCAACGTGGTGTCTCATGGTTATCTGTTCTTCATAGTCGATATAATTACAAAGTTATGAGTTACTACGACGATTATGATGATGATTATTCATCGGAAGATGAAATATATTATCATAACTATAGTGTAGACTATGCCAATCAAATATTGGGTGGACAACATGCTTTTTCATCATGTGTACCACTTATGCGTCGAAAACATCGTCGTCATGGTCCAACTTTGGTTCGTGTGTCTACTTTGGATGAAATGCCAATCGTCAATCGACATCGAACTATTCCAGGACTACGTAGTCGACCAAAATATGATGATGATGACGAAGATGATGATGATGATATCTCAGTTCCAGTTCATCTTCCTCCACGCTTACCCTCATTGGAAACTACAAATGAAGAATTAGAAAGAAGAGCAATGAGAAGAACTGAACCACCATCTGAGGTCTAGATAATATGCTTTATCTGAAATTTTCAAACTTTCTCTTCATTTAAATTCTTAGGAACCATCAAATAATGTTGTTCCATCAGCTGATAATAATTCTCCATCTGAAACTCCACATCGTCCATTAACTGAAGATGAATTGAGACAAGTTCAACAGCAACAAGAAGCTTTTCAACAACATTTACTTAATATGCAACGTCATTTACAAGAACAGTCACAACAAGCAGAATCAAATCCACAACGACAACCACAAATAGTTCCATCATCAATATGTTCAACAACATGTTGTTCTAAAAAAAGGCCAAAAGTAGCATTTCACGATTTAGAACGTGATGATGATCAAGCTGAAATTGCTGAATTAATTGAAAAAGATCCTTATTTTGCAGCAGCTATGGAAGATTTTGCTCATTCACATGGATTACTACGTAGTAATCGTCATAGGTAATTTAAAATTTTCTTCTAATTCATCTAAATAATTTTTTCTTGATAGAACTAATTCAGAACATTCATCATCTCATTATTCTCAACGTTCTCATAAACGACATCAACCTAAATTACATGGAAAACGTTCTCGACCATCACATTCATCATCTTCTTCTTCACTATCTTCAGTAACAAATATATCATCTGATTTAAGAGGTTCAAATCAAGATTTAATTCTATTGAATGAACTTAAACAGATTCGTCTTTTAATGCAAAGATTTGTTGAATCTGGTGGTAATTCTAACCAACAAACACCAGCTGGTATCCGTTATCCACCTGTTCCAGGTGTAACTGATTACGAACTAGCAACGGTTCCACGTGGACAACCACAGCCACGTCCAGAACCAAGGCAAGCTGAATATCAAAATGTTGTCAATGCTGTAAAAGATGTTCTTGATCGACGTCGTTCTTCTCAACGTGATCTACCACTAAAACCAAGCGAGATCGATCCAAAACTAAAACATGTGTATACAAGACGACCTCAAATTCCATCAACAAATTTTCAACCAACATCAATGCAACGACCTCCACTACCACCATCTCAACTACAACAACGACAAATACGAAGACGATCATCTCAAATGACATCATCACCAAGCGTTTCGATACGTTCAACACCACCTCCGCCTCCTCCACCATCATCAAACAAGATTCCCGTACGTTAGACTATTTTCTAAAAATTGAATTATTTTATTTTCTTATTTATAACTTTCAGCCTGCTCCTCCATATGAAGCTTTAACTAATTTTTCAGCATCTCGATCAACAATAAATCAAAATCGTACTTTATCCTATGGTAAACATGAAAAGCAATCACATATTTATGATACACTTCTACCAGGACATTATTTACGTTTATATACTAATAAATATAATTAATATAAGAAAAAAATAAACAATAAAATGACTAGAGAACTCGCATTATCGAATGATAAGAAACGATTGGTGAGTCTCCTTCTAAATGCACAGCTGTTGCACTAACATCAACCGATTGTTCATATTCACCACGAGCTTCCATTGACAAACTCAATAAATACCTATTCAAAATAAACAATGAAAATTTTTCTTTTTTTTTTCTTTAAATTTACCAAGGTTGATAATTTGATGGTTGAATAGAAATAGCATCACGTGCATATTTTTCTGCTAAAGAATAATTTCCAATTTGAATTAAAAGTTTTGTTAATTGAATTAATGTTGGAAAATGATATGGATTAATAGCTAATGCATCATTATAATTTTGTTTTGCTAATTTTAATTGACCACGAGCATCATTTATTAATCCACGCATATAAAACATTTGATGACATAATGGACTTAATGATGAGACTTCTTTTACACAACGTTCACCTTCATCTATTTTATCTAATTTTATATAATATCGAACTAATTTTTAAAAAGAAGTATAAATAAATCAGTTAATAATGAAAAGATAAAAGAAGTTTCTAGTTTTATTACCGAGATGTTCAAAAATTTGAAGTAAACTAAAATAAATTGGTTGAACAGAGAAAAATGAAGTTGATGATCGATTATTTCCAAGAGAAGTTTCTTCACTAAGTAATCCAGATACAGGTCGAACACCCAATAACAATAAATTTTTTATTCCATCTTCAACTTTTAATGCTCCTGGTTGGACATTAAGAGTTTGTTCACCATCTGCTTCAGTATTTATTGATGGATTTTGAGATCGACCATTTGGACGATTTCCAGCACTAGAATTTATTTTATTTTAAATTTTTAATAAAATTATTTTATTTTTACCTTGAATGTGATACTCCACGAGTGTGATGAGTATTATTCATTAACATTGGTTCATATTCATTTTTCCATAGTACTAATGTTTCTTTACATGTTACAATTGATTGTTCACATCCATATAATTCTTCTTCGATAGAAGCTTTTGTTAATAACAGACTAAATATATTATTGATAAGAGTTTTCTTTTTTTCAAAATACTATTTTATCTGATATGAAATGCTTTTCTAAATTTTTATTTTATATATAAGTACAAACGTAATATAACTATAAAAATACTTTACGAATGTTTTTGATAGTACAATATATTCGTGTGAATATATATCGTACTCACATATTCATCTTTAATATCAATAGACAAAATTATGACTTAAATTATATTCAATTGAAAAAGAAAAGAAGACGAAATATTTATAGCAATGCGATGTCAATCTGTAACGTGTTATATTTCATAGAAAAAATGTATAAATAACAAAAGTTAACTAGTAAATTTCAGAAATGTCTGATAAAAATCTGTGAGTTATGCAAGTCTCACATTGTACATTATAGATATTTTACTATGGTTACTGAGTAAATACTTTACAAAACTTAATATGTTTTTTTTAAATGCTTTTACTAATGGAAAATTCTCAATTAAGAAACGTTTATTTTCATATCTGTTTACATTTATACTCATAATATTTATATTTGATTAAAAAAGGAAGTATATATTAACCTGATATCTGGATAATCAATCGTTGCTCGATAGATTTGTGCATAAGCTTCCGGCATTTGTTTTTTAGCTGTAAGTAAGAGTGTATATAAATGAAGAGCATATTTATCATCTGGTGATAATAATAAACATGTTTCAATAGATTTGAATGCATCTCGAATCTATTTTATTAAAAATATACTAATTATGATAGATAAAGAAGATTCAATACAAACTTCATTAAGAAAACATAAATTTTGAGCTAAATGAAAATGTGCTATGGAATCATATGGATCAAGTTCAATACATCTTAAATGAAAAAAATAAATAAAAAATGAATATTAAATAATAATAAACATACTCTCGAAGTTCTCTAACAGCTGATTGAAAAAGTATTTGACGATCTTGATGAATTGATGTTTGTCGTGCTTTAAATGATTTTGAAAGTGCAAGAAGAAGTAATGAACGAGGAAGTGGAGGTTTTGGAGGTTTTTGAAGTTCTTTTGCTCGTTCACAATAATCAATTGCTTCATCAATCTTAATGAAAAAAACAAAAATATTTTGTTTTCATTAAAAAATAAACATAAGAAATTAATAATACCAGTTCAATAAATGGAGGTCGTTGTTCATGTTGATTTGAATTATTTTGTTGTTGTTGTTGATTTGGTGTTTGTTTCAATATTGGTTGTGCATCTTCACCACTTGATGGAAATGTTTCAAATAATGATGGTAACTTTAAAACAAGAAAAATTTCAAATAAAAAAATAAAAAAAACTGTATTACATCATAAATATATTCTAGAATAATTTTGGCAAGTTGTAAATAAACTTGAATATTTTGTGGTTGCATTCGAAGACATTCTTTCAAAATAAGATAAGCACGAAATGGTTGACCCGATGATATTAATGCTAAACCATAATTATACCATGTTTGAAAATGTTCAAATGAAAAACGAAGAGCTTGTTCATAAGACTTAGAAAAAACAAAAAGAAATATTTTGATTAATTTTATAAAATAAATAATTGTTCAACTTACATCAGCAATAATATGAAATGCTTGTTTACGAGAAAGAAATATTGCAAGTAGTGCAAGAATATTATAAGCAGCTTGATGACTTCGTTCACGTTGTGCTTCATATTCTGGTTGCCAATCAAGGACTGCTTCATTTAATGTTGATGATTGACCCAATAATAATAATAATAAAATTTCTTCATCAACATCTCGAGGAATAAATGGTGGTCTAAACAAATTATTTTATTATGATTTTTTCTTTGTTAAAATAAAGTCTTACTGAGAATTTCGGCGATGAATCAAATGATGATGATGGTGATGATGATGACCATCATCAAGTGTTGTACTTAATGGTGGATAATTTCCTTTACAAACACATTTTATTAATAACTGAGCATATTGCTTTATTAATGTCTATAAGAGAATAAAATTATGACTCATATTTTAAAATAGAGAAAAAAATCAACAAACTTGTCTCATTGTTTCTAATGATTTAATATGAACATTTTGAATATATGAACGAAAGATTTCAATAGCTGTTGGTAAATTACTAAAAAAAACAGAAGAATATATATAATATTAATAAAAGAAATGTGTTTATTATTTACTTATTTGAAGCATGTAAAAGTGGTAAACGTTGATAGGCAATTTCAACTAAAGAATTTTCAATATCCAAATTATCATTGCTTAAATGTTTCGCATTTTCAACTTCAGCATAATAAGTTTTACTTAATTTACATGAATCATCAAAAGCTTTAATAATATCTATTAAATTTTCATTGTTTTTCTCTAATAAAAGTCCTTTAAGTGAATAAATTTCTGCAAGTAATAAAGATGATCGATGTGGTTGTTCTTGATTATCATTTGGAATTGAATTTAATGCTAAATCAACACTTGTTAAACATTCATCATAACGTGCTTGAGCATAATATAATTTAGATAATAGACATTGACCTTCAAATGTTCGAGATAATCCACCAGATTTAAGAAGATTTTCAACACGAACTAAAACTTGTCTTGCATGTTCAATATGACGAGAATCAGTTAATGGATATTGTTGTAAATATAATTCTAATTGAGCTTCTCCTTCTAAGAATTTTGCATATTCTAAAGTTTTTTTCAAAAGAAAAAAATTATTTTTATTGTTTCAATAAATAAAAGAAGAGAAAAAAACCTGAAACTTTTGCTGTTTTTAATTTATCAAGAATTTTTGTCCAATTCAATTCTAAACGATATTTTTCAATTTCATGATCTGATCGATATTTTCCACCATGAGAATTCGTTGGTGTTGTTGCCATGAGTTTCGTTATTAGTAATCAATTGAATATGTAAAAAAAAAACTATATGATGTTTTTTGTTTTGTCGTTTGGCACTATTATCTATTGGAATTGAAATATTGTTCAATAGAAACTCTATTTTCATCCTCCCTGACATAGATGTCACTTTTCAATCATATTATATTTGACTTCTGCTAAATATTTCATCTTAATGGAAACTAGAACTACAATGATTTGATTCTACATTTGTCTACGTACATTTCTTTGTAGAAGAAATTAACAACTAAAATCCCGGATAGCAACAGAAACTACATTAATTTAGATGAAATATTTTACATATAAAACTGGATATCCTTTCTTTTTCTTTATTGTTAATATATTGCTACAGTTACACTCAACTTTATAAATATCAAATTAATCTTAAATCTAAATATTCAACAAAAATATATTTATATGAATTTACTATTGATATCGACTGAAAATATAATGAATACACTTTGACTATAATTTCATATAATATATTAAGCAAAAGCAATACATTTGAATTAAAGAATGAAAAGTTTTAATGAATAAATATATGTTTTATTCATACGATTCTCGCCTTGGTGGCTCAGTCGGTAGAGCGTCAGTCTCATAATCTGAAGGTCGTGAGTTCGATCCTCACCCGGGGCAGATTTCCTTTTTATTTCTTTTTCCATAGATTTTTAATGATACAAGTAACAGATGTTCTACTCATTATATTACTTAATAGACGTCTTCTTCTTTTTTAATTCTCCTATCTTTATTTTAACAAAAAAACGAAATGTTAAATAATACTAAAGGATCAGTAATTCAAGTTGATCGTCTTACTCTTCATGGGAAAAGTCAACCAAAACCAATTCCTAATATTGCACCTAATTTATCAAATAAAACAAACGAGATTTCTCATGAATCTCATGTCTCATTTCCATCAAATAAAATAAAAATAATTCGTTTAACTTTCGAAGATTTAGATTCGAATGAAAAATTAATTTACAATAAAACTGAAGAAACAACAAATGATTCAATGAATCAACAATCATTAGTAGTAAGTTTGATATTTTAATAAATATCAAATTATTTCTTTTGTAATATAGAATTTAAATGAAGAAAATAAAGAAAAAGATGAATATATTTTATCACCAATCTATGAATCAATTGATGAAAGACGAAATTCAATAAATCTACTTAAAAATAAAAAGGAGATGAAAACATATGATGAACAATTTGAAACACTTTATTAATTTTGAATTTTTTTGTATGAAATTTGTTTTAAATAAGAATAAATTTAAATGACTTGTTCTAGCTACTCTGTAGCCTCCATGTGCCTTCTTTTTTATTTGTCTGAAAGAAAGGAAAGAAAAAGAAAAGTAAGATGTAAGATGTTAAGTGTACTTCCAATAAGAATAAATAAAAGAATCGTATGAAAAGTTCTTTTCTTTTTCAAGAAATTCTTTTTACTCATTCTCAACTCACTTTATTTATTTATTGGTGAACTCGTCATGCCTTGTTTCAGAAATCAAAATCTATGATTAGAAAAGAAAATTTTTTGTGAATTAATAATTGAAGATGGAATCAAAACATATAATTCAATTGGAAGATTTACCTGATGAATTATTTTTATTAATTTATCGTTATTTAAATAAAATCGAAATATTAAATAGTTTTAGTTGTTTAAATGATCGTTTTTCCAAAACAATTCATGAATTTACTGAAGAAATTGATTTAAATTTAATTCCATTAAAATTAATAAATCGTTTTCAAAATGAAATCTTTCCAAATATAATTTCAAATATTCGATCAATTATTTTCAATGATGATTTTCAACGTTTTCCAATAAATTTCGAATTATTTCCAAATCTTGAATCAATCCATTTTTTAAATTCATTTTCACAAAACTATCTTTATAATGTAAAACAAATCAAAATTGATTTAGTTCCTGTTGATGCTCAAATTGATTTAATGAAAAAACTTTTTTCATCAAATGATTATTCAAATTTAAAAAATTTATCATTTATTTCTTATCATGGTTCAACATTTTCAAATATTCAATTAACTAATTCAAGTCAAATTGAAAATTTAACAATAACACTTAAAAATAATGTTGATTTATTTGAACTTCTTCGTTTATTATCATGTTCTATTGAAAAATTACATATTCATATACTTTATAATGGACCATTTAAATCTTTATCATCATTACCATTAAAATTAGATAAACTTCATTATTTTCATTTAAAAACAACATTTGAAGATTCAATTAAATTTAAAGAATTAGAAAAATTAATCATTGAATCATTTTCGTTTCTTCAATATTTATCAATTGAAACATTAACACGTGATGAAAATTATATCAATGGTTATCAATGGGAAAAATGTTTGAAAAAATTAATTTATTTAAAAAATTTTATTTGTTCAATTCGATATCGTTGTAGAATAAATGAATATGATGATGATCAACAAATAAAAGAAGAAAATTTATTAAATTCATTTTCAACTGATTTTTGGTTAAATCAACGAAAATGGTTTATTAATTTTTATTCAACGATTTCAACTACTAATGAAACTGTTTTAACAAATACTTTTAAAGTCAATGAATATAGAAAAACATTTTTATATACGATTCCTTATCCTTATCAATCTATGGATGCAACTATTGATATTAACAAAACAAAATCAACTATCAATCAATCTATAACAAGGTTTGATTACATTTATTATTGTCATGTATGTGATAATACATGAATATCTTTACTCTCTCTTTTCTATCGTCTATTCATTCTGAGATGCTTCAATATAATAGTAGACATTTTTCTCTATTTTTCATTCGTATGTACAGTATAAAATAAAATAGACAAGTTTTAAATGTATCGATTGAGTAAATAACTTATAAGAACTATCTTAGAATGATATTCATCGGATCATATCGGAATTTTTTAAAAAGATTTCAACAGTTATAGATTTTTTTGGTCCCGGTAAATTTTTTTATTTGATCCCGGTCCTGGTTCCGATTACAGTCTCGGTAAAGTTTCAGTTTTTAGTCCCGTATATCTCTAGTCAATTCACAATAATGAAGTAATACGAAAGAATATGATTATTATTTTAGGAGTATATATTCAAATGTTCGTCATTTATATTACAATGGTGAAAATATTCCAATTAAATTCGAATGTTTAAGAAATATTTTTAATGAATTTAAATCAATAAATGAATTGAAACTAGATCGATTAATACTTGATTCTTGTTCATTATTATCTCATCAAATAAATCTTCCACATTTAAATAAATTAACTATTTATAATAACAGTGGTGAAAAAAATTTATTAAATATAAATTTTCTTGATTTATCATCAATGTATAATCTTCGATATATTCGTATTCCTCAAATCTCACTTCCCGATTATTCTCAAATGCCAAAACAACTTGAAACTCTTATATTAACTGAATGTCGTGATCTTCATTTTGATTTTATACATAAATACGAAAACTTACGTACATTAAAATTATATTTAAATAATTTTGATCGATTATTAGAAAATAATGGACAATTAATTATGAATCTAATTAAGTCAATATATAATAATAATAATATAATGGAATCACTTCAATTAATGTGTCCTGGTGCTAATCATAAAAAAGTAAACATGTTTGAAAAACAATTTAGTTCAACTAATCTTGATTATTTATATGCTCATTTTGATGGAAAATGTTTATTAGCAATTCAACGATCTACGGAATTTTTTAACCAAACAACTTCATAATATAGAAACGAAATTTTGATTTTGAATTATTATATATGTAAAAGAATTTAAAAATAATATATATATTTGGATAGGTATTTTGTTTGTCAATTATAGATTCTTCCGATTTCTTATATAAAATTGTTTTTAGTTGAATATTTTTTTTTCTGTATACATGTATCAATAGTTTCAAACTTTCTAACTAATAATTGAAATAAATTATATTTCAAGAAAAAATCTATCTTTATGTGTAGAATATTGCCATAAAATATGATAATGTGATTTGGCAACAACATGTTCTACTTGAATAATTTCAAACAACAAATATTTTTCTTCTACCCCTTCAAAGCAATAATATGTTCTGGTTGAATACGCCGCACACTTTAATCACTAATTATTTTCTTTCCTTCGAAATAATACTGGGTTATGGTTGAATACACAGAATGTTTTACCTACGAATGCATTTCTTTCTTTGAAATAACACTGGGTTCTGGATGAATGAGCGCCTTTGTTTACTGATTGAATAAATTACAATCGATTCTCTATCAATCGATGGTTAGTTTCATATTCTCACTCAACAACAAACAAATGCGATCATCTACTATTGTAGTTGTGGCTTTGGCTCTCGTTGCAATTATTGCGCAGCATTCGTCAGTTGCAACACCTAGTTCGTACAAAGAATTGCGTCGACAATATAATGACAACAACCATGGCAAGAATAAGCAATACGAAATGTTTCTACGACGTGTTTTGCAGAAACTAGATAGTGACGATCTTCGCCCTACAATGCGAAAGGCTGCCAACTCAGGTGAGAGTTTGCGTTAACTTGCTCAACAATGCGAATTGAGAACTATCCAAATTATGATAATGCTTAGAGCTCATATTCTGACTATCGATGGGAGGTCACTGAACCATCACAGCTTATAAAGGATTCTTTTTTTCAATCTATTACTATATTTTCTAAGAGAATGATGTAAGGATAGTTCTGATAAAATCTCATTTATCACAAGAAGACATGTAGGATAAGTGTGAATGTGGAAACACTGAGAAAATCCAATGTTTTTCTACTGCTCTTTTGTTTCATCATATAATATATAATAAAGTACGAGGGGATAAGTGAGCCTTAAGTTTTGAGTTTATTTATAGGACTAACTTACTTTTCATCGAATAATCATATTTATTTGACTATATATTTTAGCTAAACTACCAGTGTGCAGTGACGCTACTTGCTGTGGTCAGACTTCTTGCATTCCTTGTAAATATGGTAGTGCTACTCAATATTGTCGTGGTCTTGTTTTTTATGTTTTTCGTCTTTTTAATGATTCTGCTTCTTGTTCTGGTTATTCTGGTTCTCGTTATTCTGGTTATGGTTGTACTGTTCCTGCTGATAAGTGTAAGTTGTCTTAAAAGCCCGTATTGTTCTACAGCAAAGTTATTTTTTTTGTGCATTTATGTGTGTTTAGGTCCATGTGTAAATGGTGGAACATGTGATGGTCCTTCTAATAGCTGTCAGTGTAAAGGTGGATGGATGGGTGAAACATGCTCAGAGTGTAAGTTCTTTTTATAGCCCTTGTTGTTCTACAGGATAGTTGGTTTTTATTTGTAGGTTTATGTCAAAATAGTGGAACATGTGATGGTCCTGATGGTGCCTGTCAGTGTAAAAGTGGATTTACGGGCGAAAGATGTCAAAGTAAGTAATAATTGTTTTTTAGGCAGAGATTGCCTGATTGAAAAAGATCGAGCCTTTTGTACAGTGTGAAAGTTAGAAAATTGAGAAAAATTTAAAATGATCAAAACCGATGTTATCAGTTTGAATCATGATTATAACTTTCAACCATGGTTATAATTAGAATAACTTTTGGACCAAAAAGTTGATCATTCATCACTCAAAAGTTATAACTCAGCCCTTTTTAACTCCTACTCTATTAAGAATGATCCTGCCGATTCTAAAACCGAATTATTCAATACTGAGTCAGTCAATGTTTGTCTATTGCTCTTTTGTTTCATCGTATGATATATGATAAAGTATGAAGGTATAAGTGAGCTTTGAGTTTCGAGTTTATATGTGAGACTAATTTAATTTTGATCTAATAATCAAACTTCTCTGATTGTATATTTTAGATCCACCACCGGCACCACCTCCACCACCGCCGTCATCGTGCAGTGCTGCTACTTGTTGTTCCACGAGTTCTTGCATTCAATGTGATAATAATGGTACTACTGTCTCTTGTTTTGGTACTGATTATTTTGGTGGTTATTCTTATGCTATTTATTCTAATCCTAATTGTCAGAGTGCTAACAGATTTTCTCAGTGTCCTTCTGATGTGTGTAAGTTCTTTTTAAAGCGCATGTTGTTGTACAGGATAACTGGTTTTATGTGTGTTTGTATGTGTAGGTTTATGTCAAAATGGTGGAACATGTGACGGTCCTGGTGGTACCTGCCAGTGTAAAGGTGGATGGACTGGCGAAAGATGTACAAGTACGTAATCATTTTTTTTTGAGGTAGAGATTGCCTGATTGGAAAAGATGGTGCCTTTTGCACAGTGTGAAAGTTAGAATAAATTTTTGAAAAGTTAAAAGTTAGGAAAATTGAGAAAAATTTAAAATGATTAGAACCGATGTTATCTATTTGAATTAAGAATGATCCTTTTGATTGCAAAATAGAATTATTCAATACTGAGTCAGCCAATGTTTGTCTATTGCTTTTTTGTTTCATCATATAATGTATGATAAAGTATGAAGGTATAAGTGAGCTTTTTTGAGTTCCGGGTTTATATGTGAGACTAATTTAATTTTGATCTAATAATCAAACTTCTCTGATTGTATATTTTAGATCCACCACCGTGCAGTGCTGCTCTTTGTTGTGGCACGGATATTTGTGTTTCTTGTGATAACAGCAATACTTATTGTCGTGGTATTAATGATAAGGATATTGGTAATGATCCTCGTACTCGTTCTCGTTTTGGTCTTGCTGGAGTTGGTGTTCATGATCGGTATTTTGGTGTTTTTAATTGTCCTTATGCTTGTTCTTTTGGTGGTGATGGTCTTCGTGGTGGTCGTTCTCTTAATGCTAGTGTTTGTTAGAGAAGTATTCATGAGCTGTCGGCAGTTTGATCTAACAACAAAAACTATTTCGAAAAATAAACTTTTTAAAGTCAAACAGACTCTAATAACTATTTTTTTTTATTAATACCTTCATTTCAAATTTCTTTCTTGCATTTTTTTCGTACCTCTTTACTAACCGTAATTACAATAAAAGTTTTTTAATATAAAAAAAACAATTAAAATGAGTCACCTCAAATTTGAAGATGTAATGTTCATATGCAAAATGATCATCAAGTGTTAAAGAACTTCTTGGATGTACATTGATATATTTCTATCTTATAGAAAGTTCTAATCAATAGACTTTCCCCGTTGCGTTAATAACTCATAATTAATCCTTTAAAAGACTAATATTTGATTAGATGTGTGACAACGACAGGTACTCTTGATTAATCAAAAACAAATGGACTTACATCTTGACCAAAAAAAGGAAAATTGAACCTGTTGGTTCTGGCTGTGAGGTATTAGTGAAATATGCTATAACCCACTCTAATTCACTTCCAACCAAACTTCCACAAGAAAATGAATAATTAAAAATAATAAACCACTCTTCAGTATATTCTAATGTAAATAATTTTAGAAGTCAAAGTTCGCACTTCGCATTGACTAGTAAAACTAAATTTTTGGAATAATAATGTACATGAGCAGCAATCTATAGTAAAAAGAGAAAGAATATTTCTTTGAAAATCTAATATTGGATTATTAACAATGCATATTGATGTGTACAATAATTCTCTAGGTATTCTCTAAGTATATAATATTTTAGATTTATGAGTTATCGTAGGTTTCACGATCCTTCTTATTAATCAAAGTGATCTTTAGCCTTTCAGAATTTATAGGCGAAAATATATCGAAATGTTTCGATATCTCTAATTAATTTCTTTTACTCATAGGATAATTTTATTCAATTATTGAATAAAATTGAATTGTTGTGTTGATATGGATGATTTTATTGTTTGATTGAAGATTGTAACAATGATTTATTTGTTCAAATATATTATGTGATCATAGTTACGAAGTATGATCATCGATATCGTATTTGGCGCTACGAGTCATTTTGAAATTGATGTAGAATTTTGGTATAAATATTTTGTGTGACCTCGGTATCTAAAGTTTAGAAAACGGGTGAATGTGAATGTAACAAAGCTACTCCATCGGCACTCATCCTCAATTGTTTTTATAATCTATTAGGAACAGAATGAATAATGTATTCTCATAGCGTCATTTTCTTTGACTCACTGTTAAACGCTATCCATTGAATCATGGTTAACTCTTCATGCATCAGTTTTTATTTTGACATTCTTCATCACCAATGAAAATGTATCTGACATATAAGATTTTTTCATGGTATTAGAGTACATAAAATACAAACTATGTACATTGAATTCTGTGAATTCCGCATTCCTCTACTCTCTCACTCTGACTTACTAACATAGCTCATTCTTCATATATTCCTTTCATAATCTCTGATATGATTTTCTATATTCTAAAACTCTTTTTCTTTAATCCAGATCATTTTTTACGCAGAAAGCACAACGATCATGTAGACAATCAGTAATCTTTATACGATTTGCTGAAGATGGTATGCCATTGGTGTTCATTATAAGAAAAGTCTCTGCTTCAACTAAATTGAATCCGTATCCTGATCTGCTGCATTTTTGCTATAAACTCTCGCATAGTATGTGGTTTTGAGAAGTTTGCTTCTAAGTCATGATTCGTCGTAATGAGTTTACTCCTAACGTTGGCTATTATATGACCTCTCTTTTCTGATCCCTTCTATAGCTTGTCCGTGTAATTTTCCCTATCTCTTCCTCTCCATTTGACCTTTTTTCTCTCGTATGACCCCTGTACATTGTTTATCTCTGACCTTGCATATTTTTGTTACTTTTTCTTGCCATTTCGAGTCAAGCAAACAGTCAACAATGGCAGTTGTACAGGTTCAACACATATAGAGTCACGCAATACGCATTTCAGCAAGTTTATAATGTCCAGTGAAAATATTACTACCTTTCTTACATTACCGGTAGAACTTGTCTACCGAATTTTGGATCATCAAAACAATATTATGATGCTATGCTCAATGAGAAACGTATGTCAACGGTTTGACAATATTATTAACAGTTACTATCGATATCAGGTAAAATTTCTCTCTTGTGATTGTCTAATTTTTACTTATTGGCTTAAATTATTTTTCATTTATATACTTTCTAGTTGAATACAATAACTTCAATAAAATATATGTGCATAAAGTTATGTGTCATTTCAACTAATTTATTACCTAGTGATCTCTTTCTGAAAATTATTTTCTATATTCTGACAATATAAACATTATAGCCTGATAATTATGAAATAATCATTTTGTTTTTTTTCAATCTCATCTAAATATTTCACGTTTGAAACTCGATATGATATTTAGAAACGAACGAAAAGAAAAGGAAAACACAGTGTTATGTGTTGTTTTATGTATATCAAAACCTTCCTTTCATACAACTTTGATAGTAAAAATTAGATTGTGAAAGAAATTAACGATCTATGAACTAGTTTCACTTGTTATAGATAATATCTCAGAAAGTTTCTTGAAAAATATCTTCAACAAATAGTTTCTTGAGAGCGCGGAGACTGAGTATAAGTGAAGGTGTAGATGCCAGTGGATTTGAAGATACAAATGAAAAGAAGACTGATACCCAACAACATTTATATCACTCACACCCATACCATGAAAGTGGAACATATTTTTCAGAAACATAACTCCTGGATCACATGTTTTCACGAATAATTGCTCTAAAATATATTTCATTTAAACGACATTTTCCTAAGCACGAAATTTTCGAGATAACTTGTAAAGAATATTTCTTTCAGAACGTTTTAGAATGATTCCATTTTCTATTCAAAATGAATCTAATATCATCCGATAGTCTGTTTCACTCTTCCCTTTGATCACCGAAAAGGAACCACCATTTTGTCATATGTGTAAGATACTAACAAACATTCCACACTACTCTATAATGATCAACACTATTTCCTGTATTTCACTGTTATTTCAGTACATAATACAACGATTTACAATAGTGTTTGCACAGAAGTGCTTTACAAGATCTCATACAATAAACAAATATTTTTTTATATTTCTTCCCCCAAATTTAACAATTAGAATACCTGACAGATACAAAAATTAATATATAAGTGTCGCTCTCGATAATTTCTTTTTAGACTAGCTTTATTTCAAAAAAACAATTTTGAACCATGAACAACATGTGAGTTCAGAGAAACATCTGTACTCATATCCACAAACTCTTTAAACCAATGACAATAGTCTCCATTTTCGTACTGAGCAATCAGAAGAAAATGATTGACCACTCTATCTCCATATCTGTATCATGTCTTTACTTTCCTTTTTCTATCTAGACACTCACCACACTAAGTGTCGACGATCATAAAATCGGAGCTGTTAGAGTACAATATTTGTGTGATACATTAAAACATAATACAGTAATTATTATTCTCTCTGCAACTATGCCGTGTCTTTACCTTCACTTTTTCATCTAGACACTCACTACACTAAATCTCAACGATCATGAAATCGGAGCTGTTGGAGCACTATATTTGGGCGATGCATTAAGACACAATATGGTAATTCTTATTCTTTCTGTATCTATATCATGTGTTTACCTTCACTTTTCCATCTAGACACTCACCACACTAAGTCTCGACGATAATGAAATCGGACATATTGGAGCACAATTTTTGGGTAATGCATTAAGACACAATACGGTAATCCTTATTCTCTCTTTATCTATATCATGTCTTTACCTTCCCTCTTCTATCTAGACACTCATCACACTAAATCTCCGACAGAACGATATTGGAGATGCTGGCGCACAATGTTTGGGCGATGCATTAAGACATAATACGGTAATTCTTATTCTTTCTATATCTATACTATGTATTTACCTTCGTTTTTTCACCTAGACACTCACCACACTTGATCTCTACCAGAATAGAATCGGAGATGTTGGAGTACAACACTTGGGTAATGGATTAAGACACAATACAGTAATTCTTATTCTCACTTTATCTATGCCATTTCTTTTCGTTCACTTTTCCACCTAGGCACTCACCACACTAAGTCTCAAATGGAATCAGATCGGAAATGTTGGAGCACAATATTTGGGTGATGCATTAAAACATAATACAGTAATTCTTATTTTCTCTTTATCTATACCATATCTTTACCTTCCCTTTTTCATCTAGACACTCATCACGCTAAATCTCAGCTATAATGAAATCGGAGCTGTTGGAGCACACTATTTGGGTGATGCATTAGGACACAATACAGTAATTCTAATTCTCACTTTATCTATACCATTTCTTTACCTTTACTTTTCCATCTAGACACTCATCACACTAGATCTCAGCGTCAATGAGATTGGATACGTTGGAGCACAGGATTTTGGTAATGCATTAAGACACAATAAGGTAGTTCTTATTCTCTCTTTATCTATAACATGTCTTTACCTTCACTTTTCATCTAGACACTCACCACACTTGATCTCGAACGGAATCAAATCGGACATTATGGAGCACAATATTTGGTTAATGCATTAAGATACAATACCGTAATTATTATTCTCGCTTTATTTATACCATGTCTTTACTTTCCCTCTTTTATCTAGACACTCACCACACTAAGTCTCAAATGGAATCGCGTACGAGACTATACTTTACGTTTAGTTGACGAATATGTTGAACGGAATCGAAGAGGAGGAAAATTGTCAGTGGTCGATCTAGTTATTCGGCGAACCGGCGACCATCACCCCTTCAAAGGTAGATACTTCGACGAATACTGAAAACAGATAGAAGACTATAGGTTTCTCTCGTAAAAAATAATACTACTTTCCACTTTTTTTTATAAATCGTCATCCCCTAATGAAAATCCTAGATCCGCCACTGAAAATGGTAAATACTAATATTAAATATAATTTGATAACGAATATACCGTTAATGATGATCGTACGAATATTATTCTGTTTTTATGTTTGTTATATAAATTAGAAATAAAACTGCTTGTTTTTGAATTTGATATGTATTGTAGTGATGATGTTCTCGTTGTCTTTTCAGCAAGTCTCTGATTGGTTGTTGCTCGTCTCAAAAGAATAGACGAGTATTTGGAAAACTATATTTCACTTGTGGGATACGTGCAGATATGCCCTGAGATTGTATGCAACAATCGTAATGGCGAAGCATAAAACGTTTTATCTAATCGTAGCAGAACCTTGAAATATTCTTGTTAGTGACAGTAAACCCGAAAACGTTCCATGCGATAATAAAAAAATCTTGACAGATTCTCTCCAATTATAGTGAACGGCGAAATTTTCGTTTCTAAAATTGCTGAATCACAAAACGTTTAATACGCAGTAACTTGCCACTAAAAAGATGCTGGCCAGTACTGCTAAACTCGGAGAAGCTCTGCGTGTAAGACCGGTGAATCATGTAAGGTTCTTTGAGCTCTGTAGAATCTCACGAAGTAATGTATTTGAATGATTGAATCATCAAGAACATATACTGAAAAAGGAAGAGTTCTATACAGAATTATCTTGTAGAAAATAAAATTACTTTTGCAAATCTATTTCGTATATGTTCAAAAGTACTATCGTATTTGTGACGAAGTGTGTCCTCTCATTCAGATGAGTTACATATTATCCCAAAATCTATTATAGAATCCAATCTTCTAGAAGTAAATCTTTTGAAAATAATCATGTCACTTCACGTAGCTTCCAGCCAGTTTATAATATATACATCACTTACCAAACAATAATCATTTTGATAGAAAAAAATTCCCCTTTATAATTCAACTAAAATTAAAAATAAACATGTCAGTTAAAATACAATAATTATGGGCGCTTTGTTTTTACTAATATATAAATTTATATATATATTTCATTCGAATTCGAATTTATTAATGATGTTTAAATGTATTTTTTTTATGATTTTTTATACAATTTTGTTATTATATACAAATGAAGGAGGTAAAATCACTGATTTTTTCTTCGTTAATTCTACAAATGATCAATCCGTTAAAAATTCTCCCAAAACTAGTGAAGATGGTGAATTCGTTTGGTTAGATTCATCAAGTGATCAATTAGAAGAAGATCTTAATGAAGCAATTAATGATGATGATGAACATCGAGTATTAGATTTATCAGATAGTCAACTAGATAAATCTTTTGAACAAGAATTATTAGATATGACAGATGGTTCACTTGAAGAAGAACTTGAACGAGCATCGAAAGATGATGCTTATGTACCTAGATCATTAGATAATTCACCGTCTGTTGCATCTCTTACAGATGATTTTGAACAATTATCATTATCAGATAATGATGATCAACAAATAAATTATTTTTCATTAGAAAAAGTTTTACCTGGTCATCTTCCGCCAGGTATTATCAAACAAAGTTATTCATTTTCAAATCAAATCAAATTAATTCAACTATATGAAAGTCATCTTATCGAAGATGTCAAAGAATTATTTGAATTTATTGCCCAACATATTCATAATAAATATACAAATTGTGCATCGAATTTAGGTCAATGGCTTCGAAATCCACAAATCGATGAACCAATATTTTATCGAAATTGTGTTCCATGTACAAATGCAGTTGATCTTAATTTACAAAGTTTATTTAATAATTATATTCATATAGATAAATTAGAACATTATTTTGTAAATACTTGTCAAATGCAAAAACAATGGATTTCATATGTAAGTCAAATGGAATATTTAGATGTTGATTTAAATCGACATCCAACAACAACTTTTACAGATGTTATTAGACGAAATCTTCTTCCTAATCATAGGTTTTACAAAATAGAAACTTGTTTATTTTCTATAAACAAATTTTCTTTAGATATGTTTTTCAAGGAATAGTTAAATCAAATCGAGGAAATAGTCATAAAGGTTTTAATCATGTTTGTAATTTAATAAATGATGAATATGGTCATATATGGATAATTGATGGACAAATTCAAAGAGTTTTTGATTTTAATCAAGATAATGATTTGAAAGAACTTGATCAAAGATATCGTCCAGATTATATTGCACGTGCTTATACGGGATTATTTCGACCACCAGCATTTATTCACAATTTAACACAAACCTATAATTACAACTAATTAATTTATATTAATCGAAGTTATTGTAGAAAAGTATTCTTACTATCGGTTATTGTTTAATTAATAACGATTAGATTTTTATTAAAATACTTAAAATAAAGATTATAGAATTTTGTTTTTGTAACTATTTATAAAACTATTCATATCTAATTAGATTCACACAAGTTTTGAACAGACAGGAATCGAGATGACTTTCTATTGTTAATTAACTCTTATTTATTTACTCGCAATAAGATAAAATTATGATTAGACATTCTTTCAAAATTTCTTACAGACGTTATTCAGATTTTTAAGCAGAATGACCTATGTTTTAAAATAGAAATTAATATGTAAATTGCGTCAAAATAGATATATATTATTTAAAGTGCATATCCAATTTGTTAATAAAATTTTCATCAATACGATTAAAAGTTATTCATGGATTATTAATTATTATAAATCGTTGTTTAGTTTATCTAAGTAAATTGAAATAAAGTAAAGTGTATTCATCATTTGAAAATTATTTATCTTTTTAAAATAGTTAAATTAGTTTGAAACTTTGTCAAAACATCTCTTATTTGGTTTCTTAGAATTTTTTTATCTAAAATGATTTTTATTAAATTCTAATAAGATTGAAAAAAGTAAAATAATTAGGAATCTATCGTTTAATCTCAAAGATAATCCTTTGACTTTCTCTCTGGAGCGCAATTTCATATATTAATCTTATTTTCGCCTTGGTGGCTCAGTCGGTAGAGCGTCAGTCTCATAATCTGAAGGTCGTGAGTTCGATCCTCACCCGGGGCAGATTTCCTTTTTATTTCTTTTTCCATAGATTTTTAATGATACATGTAACACATGTTCCACTCATTATATTACTTAATAGACGTCTTCTTCTTTTTTAATTCTCTTATCTTTATTTTAACAAAAAAAACGAAATGTTAAATAATACTAAAGGACTAGCTATACAAGTGGATCGTCTTACTCTGAATGGAAAAAGTCAACCAAAACCAATTCCTAATATTTCACCTAATTTATCAAATAAAACAAATGACATTTCTCATGAATCTCATATATCACTTCCATCAAATAATATAAAAATAATTCGTTTAACTTTCGAAGATTTAAATTCGAATGAAAAATTAATTTACAATAAAACTGAAGAAACAATAAATGATTCAATGAATCAACAATCATTAGTAGTAAGTTAGATATTTTAATAAATATCAAATTATTTTTCTTGTAATATAGAATCCTGATGAAAAAAATAAAGAAAAAGATGAATATATTTTATCACCAATCTATGAATCAATTGATGAAAGACGAAATTCAATAAATCTCCTTAAAAATAAAAAAGAGACTAAAACATATGATGAACAATTTGAAACACTTTATTAATTTCTTATTTTTTTCTGTAAAGTTTCTCCTAGGTAGTTGATTATAATAGAGAAATAAAGAAAAAAGTTCATGATAGATTTAACTATAACTATAAAATTTATTGTTAATGCAAATAATGAAAGAAAAAGGTAAGTAAAAACTCGTTAAGCTTTAGGGAAAGTAAATATTTATTTAGTTTTTGATTGAAGAAATGAACAAAGTATTCTTTTGTATCTATTTACTTTTAGGTAAATAAATGAAACATATATTCGAATTAGTAACTGGAGGCACATTTTGTTTTTAATATTTTAGTCTAAAAGAATTTTGAATTGAGAACTATATTTGTTCATAGATTGATATTGTAAAATAATTTGTGAATATATTTTTTCTATCTGATATAGTTTGTTTCATTTAATAAATGTTCAAATAATCTGATTCTTTCTTTTCTTGTTAACGTCGGATTATGATCATAACACAAACAAGACAAAAACAAAAAGAAGAGAAAAAAAAGAGCATGAAAAGGAACGGTAAAAAAACATCTTTCATCATCAGTTTAAAGAGTTTTAACGAAATAAACACAACAAACAAGAAAACATCATCATGAGTAAAGTTCATTTAACGGGATGAAGAAAACAAAAAAACAGCTACTTTTTTCTCAAACAATCATTTATGATTGTTGATTTGGAGGAGCCGAACGAACTTGTTGTTGTTGTTGTTGTTCATTATTTTGTTGATATTGAGATGATTTTTGATATCCATTACCATTATAACCAGCATTACCACCTCGATTACCACCACGATAATTACCTCCACCACGAGAACCTAAAATGGAAAATATTAAATATTATTCTTATAAATTCTTAATTAAATATTCCATACCTCGATAATTTGGATTAGGTCCACCACGTTGACCACTTCCACCACGAGTATTATTTTCAGTATATTGTCTTTGTCCACTACCATAAGAATTATCATAATGACCTCCACCTAAATTAAAAACAATTGATATATTTCAATGAAAATATAAAATTGAACTAACGTGGTCCTCGCCATTGTTGTTGATTGTAATTATTTGAACCACCACGACTATAATTTTTATTTCCAGTTCCATTATATTGTCCACCTCGATGAACATTACCACTATTACTACGACGTTGTTGCCATTGTTCTTCAGATTGTTGATCATCAGTTGGAACATTACTTGAACTCATGACATTCGATGAGTTTTCCTTTAAAGAAACAAATTTTAAATAAATTATTAATTAAAAAAAGAACTTTTATTTACTTCATCGAAATTATTAACTCCTTGTTGTTGTTGTTGAGTTGGAGCAGATGGTGTTTGCTAAAAATTTCAAATGAAGTTTTTTTTTTCTCTAATAAATAATGAATTAATCTTACCGTATAACCTTGTGAAGGTGTTTGACCTGTCAAACTTGAATTAAGAACAGTAAATGTTTGTAAATATTGATTTGGATCATTTGATTGAACTTGATTATTATCTTGATTATTAGATATTTGTTGTTGATTATTTGTTGAATCTTGTTTGACTTGTTGATTATTATTTGCAGTTGTAAGATCAAGAGAAAAATATGGATTATCTTGAATTATTTTTTGAAGTGGGATATTTTGATTACGTGTATCAAATTGTAATGGATATTCATTTGGATTTGTCTGAACCAAATGTGTATGACTTAATGATGGACCCATAACTAAAGATAAAAAAATCAAAAAAAAATATTTAATTAAAATAAAAATAATTAATTTAACCATCATTAGTATTGTTCATTTGTTTATTTTGTTCTCGTTGAGGAAGTACAGAAGCAGGTGTTGTTGGTGGGGCTTGAGGGACAAGAGGTGTTTGTTTAACTGTTTCAATTAATTGTGTTTGTTGAGGTGTTACTGTATCATCTGACGTTGATTTTGATGATAATGATGTTGATGTTGATGATGATGTTTCAAATTGTTTAATTAATTGTTCAATTGTTTCTCGAACTTCTTGTGATGTACGACCAGTTAGATTTTTAATTGTTGATGATAATGGTCCACCTTGATATATTGATAATACTGTATCAACAGCACGAGTTATTGTATTTAATGATATATCTGATGGGACAATAACACGAGCAAGTTCATCTAATAATGATGATTCTTCTGCTTTTAATGACTAAAATTAAATCAAGATTTAGATTTAAAATTATCACAAAAAACAAAGATATTTCTTTACTGATGGTCGATGATCAAGTAAATATCGAAGTTGAGCATATTCTCGAAGACGTTGTGCTATTAATAATCGTTTCTCTTCAGCTTGTTGTTTCGATTGACGTTTTTGAATTTTAGCTGACTAGAAAAAAATAATTTCGATTTTTTATTAAATGAAAACGTTTTTTTTACATCAGCTTGTATCTTTTTTAATTGTTCATGAACATCTTTAGCACATTCAATTTGACCAATAACTTCACCATATTTAGCCAATGCATCCTTAATAAAAGAAATTTTCTAGAAAAATAATTTTAGTTTTTTTTGAAAATTTACCTTTTGATCTTTAATAAGTTCTTTTCCACTTTTAGCTTCTTGTTCATAACTCTCAAGTTTTTCCTATAGAATTAAAAATTAAATTTGGAGAAAAAAAAGAAATTTTATATTTTACTTTTCTTTTGCCTAAATTTCGTTGTTTCTTTTCCAACATAAGAACAGCTTGTGTAATTGCATCGACATTGTTGGAATCTGTTGTAACTCCTGTTAATGGTGAACTTATCTGTTGTGGTGGTGGTGTTGATTTACCATTATTATTTGTTGAGATTTTTGATGATTGTTGATGAATATCAGTTACAGATGGCATTCTCCTTTAAATTTCTTTTATCTTCTTTTTTTCTTTAAATATGTGTCTATAATCAATTTGAAAATAAAACAATTAATATATCACTCAATTTGAGATGAACATCTAAAATAATAAAATTCTCTAAATTATATTTCTAGGGTATCAATAAATATTTCGAAGAAAGAAAAGAAAGAGAAAAAAAAACATGGAAAATTTATATGAAAACAAGCAACAAATATTGTCCTTCCTTTTATGGACTCAGACATAACTTATAGGGTAGAGTGGGGAGGCCAATCGATGAAAAGAGGAATATGGTTGTCCATTTATTTTCTAAGATATTTTTCTACGAAAATTATCTGAAATATTTTGACTTTTATCGTTTATTAATATTATTATATCATCATTAATAATACTAAGAAATTAAAAACTTTATTTTAAATTCATCAACAGATGTCATCAAACATCAAATCATAGAAAGGATATATTTGAAAAATGCCTTTGCTCGTTTCCATATGTTACAATGTCAAGGTTATTTTATCGACATTTACTATATCAATTCCATCAGATCATATAGACAATCTTGCATTTTTACAAATTCATTGAATAATAATGTGATCCTATACAATGCAAAGATTTATTCTCTATAAGCAACTTGTGGAGGAATTTTATAATAACATACCATTCTTTTTAACTAATCTATACGTCATGATAAATTAGATAATATTCATAAATTACAATTGATATAAAAACTTCGTATTTTATATAGAATTGCTTCTCTTGATATGTACCTATGCTTGTCTTTTATATCTACAATCATTTTGTTCTTTAGTTTTGATTTTTCTGAATTTTATTAGAATAGAAAAGTATTCTAAAATATATTATCACATACATATATCTTTTATATTTTCCTTTGATATAATAATCACAATTCTAACTAAATCCATTGTTTACTTGATATCACATATCTGATAAATGTTACCATTCAATAATATATACATCGGTTGTCATTATAAGAAATTAAAAATGACGAATTGTTTTAATAATTTTGTTTTTATATTCTTTTGGATCTTTATTTTGATCAACTTGCTTAGACATACCACATAAAATACATTCAAGACTATAATTGCGAATAGTCGAAAAGTAATTAAGCATACTTTGAAATTGTAATGACACAGGTTCATTTCGCCATTTATGATAACTTTCATATAATGTTTTATTTACTGCAACTTGTTTAATATGCATAGCAGCATCTTTTGGTGTTTTGAATTTATTTAAATCAATAATACAATCTGTTTTACATGGTAGCCAATCATGAATATTGGGTGCACCAAGATAAATAGGTACACTTCCAGCTACAAGTGGTTGCCATAGTTTCTCTGTTATATAATCAAAATCTAGGCTATTTTCAATAGCAATAGTAAATAAATAGTCTTTTGCTAATGCTAATTTTACTCCTTGCCAATTATAACTACTACGATCACTTGAATTTTGATTGTTTGAGCCGCGAATTTTAATGATATGTTCTGGTAAAGGAAGTTTATTAGATCCACAATTACCATAGTTATCCACATCAATATATTTCATTAATTGTTCCATATACTGTGTACGCTGTGATTTCGTCTGACAATTACTATTCATCCATAAGATAGATGATCTTACATACGATCTATTTGCTGTTGTGTTTCGTCTACTTGAATACTAATAAAATACAAATAATTATATTATTTTAAGCTTTTCTTTCCTTTCACTTAATTTAATGTTCTCAGTATAAAATCTTTTTGTTTAAAGAAAACAAAGATATGAAATAGTTTATCACTCACCATCTGTTTATTAGTCCAATAGATATCTGAATGTTTGATAGAATTAATCGGTACTTTATTATTCATTGCTTGTTGCATTGATAATCTTCTTGAAGTAGATTTGATTTGTTCAATATAATCATATAGCCAAGGATGTGGAATAAAATCATAAAGAGATCGATCATAACCAAAAGTAACATCAAATAATTTTAATTTCTTCCGATCTGCTGCCCAAGGATAATTACTAATGGATTCAAAATTAAATGTCATTCCCCAGATACTATCACAACTTCGATATTTATTATTTAAGATATTTTTATATTCATATGTTAATAATGGAATGAAAGCATCAACAATCATCGATGGATATGAATAATCAGAAGATTTTTTAATAAATAAATCCAATGAATAATCCATTTTACATGTCAAATCTGGTTGATTTTGTATAGAACTATCATTATTTTTTTTAAAAACTCGACCATCATAAGTACAATTAACATCTTTTAACGTATTTGGTGAAGAATAAATCATACGACAAGGTAAACGAGTACAATCATGGATATTATATATTTGACAAATAGTTTTCGATATTAATTGTAATTCATTTGGTATATTACACCATAATGTTTGATTTTCTTTCAAGAAGATTTGTTCATTATATATAAGTATACGCCAATAAGCCAAATTAAAAATATATTTTATTCTATCATTACTTTTATGTTTATCAAATTCACATAAATTGATTTCTTCTTCAAGTTGAACAATATAATTAATAACAAATATATATACAATGAATGTTATCACAATAGATATACAGAGAGCTTTCCAAAGTAATTTTCTTTGTCTTTTTGAAAAATATTTCATATTTATTTATAAACTTATCTAAAATAATTGAGAATATAGAAAATTTTCCTATTAATTATAACGAATTTTTATCAAATATTAAAAACATATTAAAAGAAGAAATTAGTAAAAATCAATTATCAACCTATTTTACGATACAACGATCTATGAAAAAATAAAAATTATTTTTAATATAATTCAAAAATAATTATTATCAAGAAAATTGATCAAAACAAGAAAACAATCTTTTCTATTTAACCTCAAAAAAAAAATTTTTCGTCTAACTCAAAACAGATGTAACCATATGTAATATACAATACGACAATACTATTTCATTGATGCATCATTAGTTATGTATTCATATCCAATATTTACGTAATACAAAATATTATATCGAAAGTAAAAGAACATATACCAATCAGTTGATGAAAAAAAGAAATGTCGCTCGTAGATGTTTTTAAAAGAACAGATCTCCTTAAGCATACAATCAATGAATAATACATGGAAGAAAGTTTTTTTTTCGGATCTCTTTCAATAAAACTAAGATTGATGATATTTTTAATAGAAATGTTTGATAAAATATTATTTTAATTAGAGAGTTTCTAAATATGATATATAATAGTTAACTTTATGAGTGTAATCATTGATTGTGTTCAAAATACGACTAGTTTCGTTCAATATTATTTATTAAAAAAGATATTTTCATTTCTAAATTGTTATTTCAAATCGATTTTTAACAAAAAAATGAATATCTATTAGTTACTACCATATTTATGAGTGAGATATTTTTGCAATTATTTTTAATCTACCATAATAATCAACAACATAAAAGTCACTTTCATTTATTGTTACACAAACAAAGAGACATAAATTCTTTTCACATACTTTGTTCTGTTTTTTTTGTTTATTATTATTCTTAAATTTATTGACATTTGAAAAGACTTTTCTTGTTCTCTCACTTTACTCTATTGTGTTCTTTCAACAATCTAATCACTTTTTCCTAGATCTGATATATATATTGTCAAGCGAGATTTGTAATCATTTTAATACTTAAACTAACACATCTTTTTATTTAATCACAATTATATTTAAATTCATTGTTTACTTAATTTTACATATCTGATTGATAATACTATTCAATAATATATACATCGATTATCATTGTAAAATATTAAAAACGACCAATTGTTTTAAGAATCTTCTTTTTATATTCTTTTGGATCTTTATTTTGATCAACTTGTTTAGACATACCACATAAAATACATTCAAGATTATAATTTTCCATAGTCGTAAAATAACTGAGTATATTTTGAAATTTTTTTGAAACAGGTTGATCTCGCCATTTATGATAACTTTCATATAGTGTTCTATTTGATGCAACTTGTGTAATATGCATAGCAGCATCTTTTGGTGTTTTGAATTTATTTAAATCAATAATACAATCTGTTTGACATGGTAACCAATCATGAATATTAGGTGCACCAAGATAAACAGGTACACTTCCAATGGCAAGTGGCTGCCATAATTTCTCTGTTATATAATCATAAGTTAAACTATTCTCAATGGCAATAGTAAATAAATATTCTTTTGCTAATGCTAATTTTCCTGCTGCTGAATTATAAGTGGCAAGATCATTTAAAGTTCGATTAGCTGAACCTTGTATTTTTATAACATGTTCTGGTAAAGGAAGAATACTAGGTCCACAAGTACCATAATTATCAACATCAATAAATTTCATTAACCTTCTCATATATTGTGTACGTTGTGATTTCGTCTGACAATTACTATTCATCCACAAGATAGATGATTTTACATATGATACGCTTGTTCTTTTGTTTTGCCCATTTGAATTCTAATCAAACAAGATTATTATTTGAAAGAAAACAAAGATATGAGATAGTTCATCACTCACCGCTGGTTGATTAGTCCAATAGATATCTGAATGTTTGATAGAATTAATTTGTACTTTGTTATTCATTACTTGTTGCATTGATAATCTTTGTGGAGTAAATTTAATGTGTTCAATATAACTATAAAGCCAAGGATGTGGAATAAATTCATGAATTGATCGATCATATCCAAAAGTAACATCAAATAGATTTGATTTTTGAGGATCTGTAGTCGAAGGATAATAACTAATAGATTCATGATTAAGTTTAAATCCCCACATTGTATTACAACTTCGATATTTATTATTTAGTATATTTATGTATAAAGAATCTGGCAATGGATGTAAAGCATCTGCAATAATCGATGGATATGAATAATCTGCAGATTTATTAATAAATAAATCTAATGTGGAACCATGTCTACATGTAAATTCTGCTTGGTTATCTGTCGAATCATCATTACTTCTTCTACTTATTTCACCATTATTTTTGCATTTAATATCTTCTAATGTATTATTTGACGAATAAATCATACTACAAGGTAAATGCGTATGATTACGTATATCATACAGACGAAAAATAGCTGTAGATATTAATCTTAAGTCATCTGGTATTTTACACCATAATGTTTGATTTTTCTTAGATAAGGTTTGATGTTTTGCCAGAGTTTCACGCCAATGAACCAAATTAAAAATATATTTTACAGTTTCGTTCTTTTCACATTTCGAAGGTTTGACAATTATTTTTGTTTCGACCTGATGAGTATGGGTATGATATTTTTGATATTTGTATAGAGTTAAAGATGTCGCAACAATTATAAGAATAATTACCCAAAGCATACAGATTATGCATGTTTTACGTTTTACCATAATTATTTATAAAATAATCTAATAAAAAACTTTCAATTTAATGTTTAAGAATTCTTTATAAATTCAAATAAGAAATTGAAGAATAATTGAATGAGAAGGATTTGTTATATTTAATTAATAGAAATATTATAAAAAAAAGAAATTAAGTAAAAAACTTACTTCGAGTACATTTCTAATTGAAAAAGCATTTAATAAAAGCTTTTTAATATTCATTTATTTTCCAATAGCAAACAAATATATACATATGTCTTGAATTTTACACAAATCAATTAATTAGTCAAGACAAATGCAACCAATTTTAATTTAAGCAAAAAATATAATCAATACGAAGAATAACGGAAATAATCCATTTCTCTATTGAGATTAAAACGTAAAAATACTATATTCAACAAAAATATCTTCGTCTGTCATCGAAGGCGACGTCGTTCGTATTGTGTATTTTGTTTTTTAAATGACGCTCACGTCTATCATTTATGTGATGTAACTGTAATAAATGAGAATATGAATAAAAAGCAAGTAATATATATATGCTACGGACAAAATTAAATTTTGGTCAAATATAAAACTTGTTCGAACAGAATTGAAATTTTATTTTTGTTTAAACAAAATTAAAATTGAAGGTGAAAAGCGTTTATTTGAAAACACTTAGATCTGTACAGAACAACTAATGTCATCGTTTAAAAAGATTGATTTTATCTAATGAAATAGTGATCAATGCATGATAAATATACTCAATCATTCATATTTTATAAAATCCTAGTTTAAAATGACATTTCATCCAACAAAAAACGTGGCTGATGACATGAATGAAAGATAAATCTAACACCCACATCCTCAAAAGACTTAAAGAAGTAGCTAGGGAAAATACCTGACATCAATACAATTTCATTCTTCAATGATTATTTTCTCTAGTTTTTTTTGAGAAAAAAAAGTCTACTAAATTTCTTGATATCAGTTTCAGAGACCCAAATGAATAAGTAATGTCCATTTTGATTCAATAACGGTAAAATTCAATTCATAACCGATTTGGTTCATCTCCGCCGAAATTATTCGCTTATTTGTTTCATTTTTGGTCTCTGTTATCTAAACAATTTCTATTCTACTAGTAGAATTCCTTACTTTTATTTTGTAATCCAGTTAGAAATTATTCAAAAATAACTTCTACAACGTTGGTAAATATTGAGAAAATCAGACAATGTACCTAATAAGATAGAGACAAGTTCACAGACATCTCAACACCTACTCAATTAAGTTTTGATTAATTTAATTTAATAATTGTTCAGTCAAACGAATAATTGAAAAAAAAACAATGTTTTTATATGTCATGTTCTCATATTGTCATGATTTATAAAAAATATTCTTCGTACAACAAATGAATTGATAAAAGTTAATGTTTTAAAGCTTATCGTTAAAATATGTACTTTATAAAATTAAAAAATATGAAATAGTTTCATTTCCTGTCTATTTGAACTAATCAATCAAATCAGTGATGAATTTTATTTGAGAACATAGACTTCTATTTAAATATCAAAGAAGAAACGATGTGGAACTTTGATTATTCTATATAATAATTGTTGAAGGAATATTATCAAAATGAAAAGATCAAGTTATGAATTTTACAGAATTTCTATATTAGATAAACATAACAGTTAGTTTTGAGAATGTTTTGTTGTAAAAGTATTTTTGTCTATTTAATATAATACAAATAGATTTGTTCTATAATTCATGAGTTCAATTTTGTAAATATTAAAAAGCAATTTATCACTTTTTCTTCCAATAAAAGAATTCTATAGTTCATAATAAATGATATTAGTCAAAGAATTCTAATAAATATAATCATACAACAAGGAACAGAGAAAAATAGGAAGACTTGAATATTTTGAAGTAAAGTTACACTTGAGAGTAGTAGAGTATTGCTTCTTCCTTCTTGTCATATTATATCATGTATCATTTTGTTTTGATTTAATAACTATGGACATGTATAACTAATGAATTCAATATATCATTTCATTTATTAAGTTATCTCTATGGATATTTTCTTTAATCATAAAAAGTAATGTAACAAATAGTATCTCTTACAAATTAATCATAGAATTTTAGCTTGTAACATATTCATTTAATACTATCGGTCAATAGAAAAGATTCAACAGGAGTTAATCATTTTTTTCTTTCAATTGAGAACAAATGTATATAAAATACTTTTGGAAAGAAAAACGTAATATTTTTTTTATTAAAGATTGATTGGTTTCATATAGATATGTTAGATAATTTAACCTTTCAATTAGTATGATGAAAGTATTTTGATAGAAAGAGATTATCTAAAACGGATGTTTATAAGATAATGTTCAACAATACGAAAGATTTTAGTATGTTAACTAATATAGAAGATAACCCCTTAAGGTAACTATTATGGGTAAAGAAGACATGCAACAACTAGAATAATTGCTTTCGCGTTATGTTAATATATCATTCACATACATACATTAATTTTTAAAATATAGAAAATATATCTTTCGATATTTTTCTATATAGAAAAATCGACTTGTTAATATATTAAAAAATGTTGTAGTTATATGAATTGACATGATAATACATCTCATTTAATATTCCAAACTAATTGTGATAGAAAAGAAAAAAAACAAACTAGAAAATCTATATTTATAAATGATCTAGAGACTATGTCGAAATCAATCATTATCACTAAAATTAATAATCAATAGAAGAGGAGGCGGATATAATTATTTAAAGAGAGAAAAAAAAGAGACATTGTCGTAAATAAGGATTTCCGTATAGAACTCAAATGTTATATACAAAATCAAAGACTTTTTAACTATGATAAGAAAGAAAATTTTTCTAGTTTAATTATTTGTTCATTTTTTAACAATTTTAGATTTATTTTAACTAAATTAATAAAACCAATATATATATGAAATGGATTTTATCCATTGTTCTAGAATTTTCTTTTATGTTAGTGTAATTCCCAAATAAAAGAGAAGAAAATAGTCTTTTCTTTTTTTGCCAACCATAAAAAATCATGCACTACTCTCGTCACTTATTCCCAGCAGCAACCTCCTATTTCATTCACTCGAAGTGTAATATTCACCATGCTAGACTGTTGTTCACCATCTTCATAACTGGTAACGCTTGTCACTCTTCATTTAGTTGCTTTTGTTATTATGTTCATGTATTCAGTGACTACCAAAAATAAGCGGAAACAGGCAGCGAAAAAGAGCAAGAGAGAGAGAGAGAGCTTCTTAATCGACAGTGACATGATTGAATTGAAAGAAAAAAGAGGGAGAGAGAGAGAGAGAAAAGATTACGGGAAGTTCATTCAACGAAGTGAATACTATCGACAAATGATGACAATAGAAAGTTGTTCAATATACGTTTAATTTTTCTAAGTAAATCTTTCCTAATATTAGATTCTATCAGGTGAGAATTCAGTAATACTTCAAAGACCAACAGATATTTTCTTATCCTGTTACAGATTAGTTTCCATTGATCTATTCTCATAATAAAACGAACAGTTAGTAGATATTTCGATCCCTGTTCTGTTTAAAAGTTAACATAGTCAAATATTTGGAAGAAAAAGTGGGTCAGAATTCTAATTATTTTTATATATTAAACTCTTTATATAATTTTTTTTCCGATCATATCAAGATAGAATAGTTCTTTGGAAAATTCTAAGTAAGTCTTTTTATCGTTAGTTAAGCGTGTGAAAAATTGAATTTTGAAGAAGATCACTGAGTAGAAACAGAGTATTTCAATTAATAAATTAGTTTCTTTTTTTTTTTTTTATAAATTCAACTAGTTGATAAATTTTCCTTTTAGTTCTATAATAAAGAATGAGTTAAGAACGTTTTTAATGTTGTTATTTTTTTTAGACAAAAAAGAAAACATTCGCAGTTTGATCGTGCCTATTTTATAGTTGAATAGTCTTAGTCTTTGTCGATCAGTCTGTTTTCCGTATGTTTACATGATTGATTGATAGGCATACGGAACAAAATGGCTTGATGCTCATTGGTGGATTTCTTTTTTTTTCAGAAAAAGAAAATCGAAAGAGAGAAAAATCTCGTTTCTCTTGCACACCTAAAGCATTGAATATTGTTCGACAATTTCCTGTAAAAAGGAGATTTGAATATGAGCTTGGTTAAGTGTTAATTACATATATAGAGATGTGTATGAAGATTAAGCTTTATGTCACCTGTTCTCTTATCTTGTCGTTTGTTGATGATTTTCTATTTCAGAGGCGGTGCAACTCGAAGACTATATTATTTATATCAACTACAAGTCGTGCACATATAAGTCACTCGACGAAATCAATTAGTTAGAAATTCCTTTTCTTTCTCGCATACTGCTCGTCAACGCCGACTGCCTTCCTCAGGCTGCATGAACACAATATTAAAAAAAAACGCTACTTTCTCGTTCATCAGCAACCTGCTTTTACTTGTTTCACTATAATGTATATTAAACGAGACTAAAAACACGCACGTGTGTATTAAAACATGAATCAAATCTAAGTGATTGATCATTATCAACGACGAAAATCACAATGGAATTGGCATCACAAGCATTAAATATTGTACGTGATACAACAGAAAATTTAACATACAAAATAACTGGGTAAGAAAAAGTTGTAATTAAAATTCACACCTATTAAAGAGAAAATAGAAAGTTGAGTCAATGATTTGTTTTTATTTGTATATTTATTTATTTATTTATTCATTATTAATCATTATTTAAACATATCTTAGTTATATTTTATTTTTTCTTGTTCAAAGAGAAATAGAAGTATTAAGATACTTTTTTTTTCTTCTCCGTATTTTAAACGTTTGATTATTCTTAAATAACTACATACTATTTTCTAATCCATTGAGTTCTCGTTTTTCTTTTTAATGAGTATTTTTCTCGCTTGTTTTCTCGGGTACTTTGTTTTGTTTTATTTGCTTTACTAGTTTTTAAAAAAGATGCTAATATCAATATTTAAGACTCATTTGCTTATGATGATGATGATGATGATGATGATGATGAAAATGATAATGAACACCTTCACTTTATATGTTTATATCGTTCTTTAAGTCATCTATGGCTTTCCTCGCTTTCTTCATCATTATCGTCATAATCAAATACTCTTCTTTACTGGAAAAGAATGTTTCAAAAATAAGAGAAGTTTTCTCCCCTCTCTCTCTGGTCTCGGATTACATTCCTTTTTTCTACTTCCCTTTCTCTTTCTCTGTATGTGTTCTAACAAGAGAATATGAAGGGACAGAAAAGAGGAAAATGCTCAATCTGCTCGAATTCCAAGAATAAGGCCAACAGCAATATAGTAGCAATGGTTAATTAGAAGAAAAAAACAGGCGAAAAAACAATGGGAAATGTACCAGCAGCATTCCGAATGGGTTTCATTCAGTGAGTATAACTATCTATTTATTGATAAATGATAGTCGAATCATATATTCTTCTTTTCTATTAATTATGAATAGACAATGAAAATGCGTTAACTCGCTTTTTATTTTGTTCTTAGTTACTTTTCTTTCTTTTTTCTTGTTGTTGATTATCGTTTAGTATTTAATGGTTAAACGATGTTATCGATTGATATTTAACATAACTAATAGTTACAAGGAAATGAAAGTAGAAGGTGCTTTGAACTAGAAAATGAGAGAAAATTCAATAGATTTTCATATTTCCGTTATATAAATGAATGATTCTACTAAAGAGAAACGCGTTAATGACAGACTAAGAAAAGGAAAAAAAGAAATACTTATTTCATATGGGAAATCAACAAGCATGAAAAATACACACAGATATATATACAAATCTAACATGAAATAATAGAAATATTTCTTATCTTTTACAAATCAAAATAATTATCTTTAATTGATTATTCAGAATGAACTATAGTTTATCTTTGTATTGTTTTGTCATATTAAATAGAACATATAATTAAAAGTTCTCAGTATCTTCTAAAGACGTTTCTGGTTTTTTTTCTTCTTTATTCAAACAATGAATAAGTATTGCTGAATGTGACAAGAAATTCATTACTTTTTCTTGTAAATTACAAAGTAAAACTAAACTGAAGTTTATTATTTTTTCTACTTTCTCGATCTTTTCTTAATAAATCAAAGGATAGAAATGAAAAAATTTCCAATACAAGTTATGTCTTTTTAGTCAAATAAACATGTCCGGAAGGTGAAAATAGGACTGCTAGTAGCCATTATACTAATCAATTTTTTTTTCTGACACATGAAGTAAATCATTTTTTATAGACGAATAGACAACGAGTGGGAAATTGTCAAAAAAAAAAAAAAAGAAGAAAACCTGTAGTAGAAAATAAAAAGAATCGTTCCACATGACAGTTATGAACAATAAAAACGAATAGATTTCTCTATGTTCATAGTGTCTCAAGAGATAATATAAAATAATAACAATAGAAATGACATGTGAACAACATCGAACAATCATTTAATTATAAATATATATAAAAAAAAAGAATGTTTTTTTAGAAAATTTTAATTGAATTATTATTCTTTTTTCTAAAGACTTTTTCAACGTACAACTCATGATCCCCAATCAGATTATGCTGAATTAGTAGAAGATGAACATGGAAATCAACAACGACGTATTAAAACAATACCAGCAACATCAGCAAATTATGGTTCATATAATTATTCACGTTTTCCTCTTGTTAATAGAATACGAAATATGCCTGTACGATATCAAACAGCATTTCTTAGTTCATTAGGTTTTCTTATATCCTTTGGTATTCGATGTAATATGGGTGTTAGTGTTGTGGCAATGACACATAATGAAACAGAAAAATTACCAAATGGAACAGTTAAATTAATAAAAGTAAATTTATTTTGTTAATTAAAAGAATAAGAAAATTTCATTTTTCTTAAATAAAGTAGCTTGCGGAATTTGATTGGACACCTGGTATAATTGGTATTGTTGATAGTTCTTTCTTTTGGGGTTATCTTATTACTCAAGTACCTGGAGGATATTTAGCAGCAAAATTTCCAGCTAATCAGTAAACAGAAGAAAACAAATATAAAATAAAAATTTTATTCATTTCTTCTTTTTTCTTCTTCTTATTAGTGTATTTGGTATTGCACTTGGTATATCATCAGTTCTTAATCTTTTTATTCCATTTGCTGCAAAATTTCATTATGGATTTGTAATGATTGTTCGAATTTTACAAGGACTTGTTGAAGTAAATCAATTGAAAAAGAAAAAAAATGATTTTATTTTTAATATTTTTCTTAAGGGTGTTACTTATCCTGCAGCACATGGTATTTGGCGTTGGTGGGCACCACCTTTAGAAAGAAGTACATTAGCAACAATATCATTTACTGGTTCATATGCTGGTGCCGTTCTGGGAATTCCTTTATCGGGAATTCTAACTGAATATTTGAATTGGCAAGTTGCATTTTATTTTTATGGTATGATAATCTTTTATTTCACTAAAAATATATTGATATTTATGGAAATTGAATAGGTGTAATTGGCATTATATGGTCTATCGGTTGGTGGTATATATCATATGAGAGACCTGCAATTCATCCGAAGATTAGCGAAGAAGAACGTATTTATATTGAAGAAAGTATTGGCGAAGCAAGTTCAGTTGCTAATAAAGTAAAATGTCTAAAAATAAAAAAATAAAATAAATGTTTTTTGAATAGTCTTGGATAAAACCACCATGGCGTTCATTTTTTACATCGATGCCTGTATGGGCAATAATTGTAGCTAATTTTTGTCGTTCATGGTCATTTTATTTGTTAATTAATTCTCAAGCTGAATATTTTCGCGAAGCTCTTGATTATAATGTTGGAAAGGTATGATTGAATTGAATATATATTTTTCTTTTAAATTAATAAAAATAAATGTTATTTTTTGAAATATTTAGGATCCATTTTTAGCAGCAATGCCACATTTAGTAATGTCATGTATTGTACCATTTGCTGGTAAATTAGCAGATCATTTACGAACAAATTATTTATCAACAACGGCTGTTCGAAAAATAATGAATTGTGGTGGTTTTGGTATGGAAGCTGTTTTTCTTCTTCTTGTTGCTTATGCAAAAAATCCTCGATTAGCTATTGGAGCATTGACTGTTGCTGTTGGTTTTAGTGGATTTGCTATTTCAGGTTAGATATAATAGAAGAAGAAGAGGAAGAAGAAAAAGAAAAAACTAATCAATAATCATTTATTTATATGCTTTTTTAATTAATTAGGATTTAATGTAAATCATCTTGATATAGCACCACGTTATGCAAGTATTCTTATGGGAATTTCAAATGGTGTTGGAACATTAGCTGGTATGTTATGTCCTGTTGCTGTCGAATTTTTAACTAAAAAAGGAGTAAGTATATTATTTATTTAATTATTTTAAATTACTATTTTGTTTTTTGAAAAAAAAAGGAACGAAGTGAATGGGCACATGTATTTCTGATAGCTTCATTGGTACATTTTGGTGGTGTTATTTTTTATGGAATGTTTGCATCAGGTGAAAAACAACCATGGGCTGAACCAGAACCCGAAAATGATAATGCATCACCATGGGGACCTAATGAAACATATAAACGTATGTATTTAAAGAGATATTTATATAAAATTTAAATTTATTATTAAATAGCTGGTGGTGGTGGAGATCAATTTGCATCCTATGGATCAACAATAACAGATGGTACCGGTGGTTATCAAGTCGCTGATTCATATCCTAATGGAAATTCTACAAATTTCTCTAATAGAAACAATGAACAAACAAGTTCAATTCCTCTTACAATTGAAAATCCTATGTATCGTAATTATCGTTAGTATAAATAGTGATATATATATATATATAT